GGATACAGAAGCCCTACGCTAATGTAGGGTACACATTATACCTTGTAGTAGCCCTTAAGATTCCCCTGTTTTTACTGTGAGACATTTGGCTTGAAGCGGGGTGGGAAGTAACAGGAGGGAAGCACCGAATGTACATTCTTCCTCCCAAGTGAAGCGGCAAAGGTAAATAACTTCTAATTTAAGGTTATGAGCTGGACAGCATTCATGAATCTTGTGATCCAGTGGAAGCTGTAAGAAAATCTGAAGCAATATTCATTGGTAAGTCTTACTTCTTGCTTCCTAAAGAAGGTTTACATAAGACACTGTATTAGTCTGTTGTAGTACTGACAGCACAGAGAAAAGAAAAGTCCTGCCTTGCTATTAGAAGCTGCAGAAAACAGCACTTTGTGAACATTAAGACCCTGAATTTAATGGTGGGAATGGAAGTAGGTGGGACTTAATCAATGCAACTGCTTCTCTAGTAAGTTTTAAATTACTCACTTAAACAGCCCTTCAACATTAAAGACATGATTTTAGATGAATTATCACTTTTTCAGGACTAAGAGGAGCGAGGCCTACTGTGGTTGGACTGAGCAGTCCTAATATACTCCAGGGTATTAAAGTACTATTTGCTGACAAATAGTCAGCATCAGTGTTAGGAAGGGGAGTTAGGGCACGAGCCCATGGCCTGCCAAGTAAGCATTTCTCCAAAGCTTCTGGTTTTACTGCTGCTGAAAGCAGAATATTGTCCTGAACTGATCTGAGTCTGGCAAGTCTGTAGTGGCACCTATGTAAAATTTAGAGTAAAGCATGTTAAATAAGTTGGATACTTTTTCCTGCAGGAGGTGGCAATACATTCCGTCTCCTGAAAGCTCTCTATGACAACAGACTGATACAAGAGATCAGGAAACGAGTTCTTGAGGTAACAACTAGATGACTTTGGCTGAGGCTAAATGACAAACAAATAAGCATTTGTTCAGAGAAATACAAGTAGATTCTACAACTTTGTTTCTAATGTACTTAAATAGAAGGCATTTCATGCAAGCCGGTGAACTGAAATCTGTGCCCAAATGAAGCTTCTGTTAGTCATGGAATCCTGAAAAGCCTAGGGTCAGAAATTTTCCTTCTCCAGCAGTTTCCCAGATTTAGAACTGCAAGACCTTGGGATGTACAATGCTGTGCTGTAATATAGAAGTAAGCCCCTCAACATACACCAATGAAGAGCACTGTGGGACTCAACCGCTGGTCAGAAACCCTGTTTCTCAGCTTGTCTACTTTGTGGCTTGATACAGATGTGTTCAAGCTTCACGTTGCCTAATGATAATCCAAGTATAGAATTGGATCTACATGTGCCTTTTATAGAGTAAAGAAAAAAGAAAGTGGTATATTCACCTTCAGTATTTCCTTTATCTAAAATCGCAACGTATGAGCATCATTGAGCCCCCTCCTATCAGCAGCCATTCTGGCTTGGTTAATCTCGTAAGGCACAGCAAAAACAGACCATCCATGGAGGAAGACCAAAGTAAGGTGTTCCCCCAGTACTGTGAAACTGTGAGTAACTTCAGACAAATTTATGCAAACCATTTTATGTTTAAAAAGGCCAGCTGACAAGAAGAAAGGTCAGGTAGGCCATCTTAATATACAAATTTCTGGTGTGTCAGAATGGTTCTTGGCTTCAGATCTGATTTCCTAAAGAGCAGATAGTTCACCTGTTTCAGATATTTTCTACAACTGTAATGTAGGTAAGTCTCCTCTCTTAATAGCAAAGCCTAATGCCTATAGTGACATCCAATAGTTGGCTCTCTGACAACCATTATATGCATAAACTGCTGCCCACCGCAAACCCTGAGCTCTTGTATTTCTGCTTTTCACCTGTAAAATTAGCAGCAAAATGAGCTAGATGTCTGACTTTGCTGTTGAGTCTCCAATTTTGACAGAAGATGCTATAACATGCAGTTGTCAATTGTGATACTGCATACTAATCATTGCTTTTGTCTTTCAGGATGGGATTCCTTACATGGGATCCAGTGCAGGAACTAACGTTGCTACTGTCAGCATCAACACTACCAATGACATGCCAATTGTTTATCCACCTTCCCTGCAAGCCCTAGGTTTAGTTCCTTTTAACATTAACCCTCACTACCTGGATCCAGATGTTAAAAGCACTCATATGGGCGTAAGTAAAGCATGCCAGAGTTAACACAGAGTGCCAAGGTTTAACAATAGCATGCATGTGCAAGGGCTTACAAAGCTAGACACTGACTAACAACTGTTCCCTAGGTCAGATGGAAATGCCAAAGAGGCAATAAGACTTTAATCCCTCCTAAAGCTTTTGAGTAGGAAGGGAAGCTGGCAACGCAGCATTAAGGTGAAACCTACTTGCTTGTCTCTAGATAAGGCATCAGTCTTCAGTCTTTCCCTGTAAATAACTTGCTGTTTTACTGAGAGGACTGTAGAAGCTCTGTGCTGTACCAATGCCTGCTGTATTCCTACGTTGTTGTCCTTACTGACAAATCCTCCTGGTTTGATTTCCTTAACTACCATTGCTCGGTTCAAAAGCAGTAGCACTCAGGAAACATGGCAGAGCCATTCAGAGAAGGAAATTCTTCAGATAATTCCTACTCAAGACGAAACAAACAGATAATTAGTAGAAATCTATGGCTATCATCTTTCACAAACAAGGCAGCGCATACATCTGCTTTCACCATCTTCATCATCTCTTATTTTGAGTGAGCACATAAAAGAACATTTGAAAAAAAAAATAAAAAATAAAAAAATTGGCTGGAAACATGTTTTCAGGCTTGGGACCAGGCAGATTCTATCTGATCAACCTACAGCAATTGCTACTAGTGATCAAGGGTAAATCTATTTACTAAAGCCAATCCTGCCACTTTTGTCAATACATTGGTCTAATCAAAACATTCTTTTGGATGGGAATGCCTACTTTGTTTAATGTTAAGATGCTGTTCAACATTATACTACTTGAATGGCTCCACGTTCTACTTCACTCTCTGGGCAGCTAAATCTACACTTGTTATTGCAGGAAACAAGAGAGGAAAGAATTCGCCAATATCATGAAGAACCAAACACCCCTCCAGTTCTGGTGAGTTGTAGTTTCCAGTAAGGAAGGTTACGTCTGTAGCATGGTAAGCATTTTAAAGTTTGTCCTTGCTAGCTTTCAGTGTGAAACCCTGTTCCTAACAAGCTCTCCAGAACTGCAGCAGGGAAGGTTAGTTATAGTCCTGCTAAACAGCTACAGCCTTTGATTTTCTCACTTTCAGAAAATAGATTATAACAAGTAAAATGCTTTCGGGCTGTTAGATGCTTGAAGCCCTGTTGCCAAGCCCTAGGATTTTAGACAGCTCCAATCTGTCCCAGTCACTGGTTGTCAGGCATACATTGTATGTTGCTGGTAGTAAGCATGCAGATGGGTAAGATACCTGCCCTTTATTTTTTTGACATATTTATACCTTAAATGTTGTTTTAATCATAGAATCACAAGGTTGGAAACGACCTATAAGATCATCTAGTCCAACCGTCTCCTCATCATCATTGCCTTCATAATCTCTGGAGGTATCTTCGTTTGCCCATTCAGTAAATAATACAATTCAATACATTTGTAGTAGCAGTATGTCTGGGAAGCCAGGAACCAAGTTTCAAACTCAAAGCTGGTGTAGGGACAGGGAGGATAAACCTGGGTTACCGTTGCTTCAACAAAACCGGATCTAAGAGTAGCAGCAGCAGAAGTAATTGTGGAATGTATATTTAAGTTTGGTTTTGTTTTTCTCCTTAGTGGTTTGTATAGCCTTCTTCAAAAGGCTATCAAATACACGGGAAAACTGGCTTCTAAAACAAGATAACTCACCTTTGTCTTTGTATCTTTGTTAAAAATAAGCAAGTAATAGTCATGAAGCACTGCACTTAAAACTGGCCTAACGGGAAAAGTGCTCTAGCCTCTCAGATTGCAAATAAAGTTTTTTTTTTAAACCTATATTAGGGCTTGCGGGAAGGTGCAATGCTGCTTGTGGAAGGAGACAAAGCCACCTTGCAAGGAGTGACAGGAGCAAGGCTTTTTTTGAGGTAAACGCTTCATTTGAATTTGAGTGAAAGAGAGAGAGACTTGGTTAGACTCCTGGTACACACTGCCTCTTCCTCATTACTCAAGTCACTTAACTGCTTCCATTTCTGTTCAGAAGAAACACGAATACTGATTAGTGATCCAAAAAAGCAGTTAGTATGACAACACCTATGTTTCTAAGCTATAGCCACCATTCATCTAGAGCGTCCCAGTACTCCAGCTGGGCTCTGTACTCAAGGCTGGGGAATGCCACTTCGGTCCTAATGTACTCTAGAACAAGAGAATTCAGGCCGTTAGTTGTATGAACACTACTGAGAAGTCTAAAATGTATATCTCATGATGAATACAAGGAAGGGAACCTTGTTCTATCCCTAATACCAAGCAGAAGATCCTTGTTCTGTCCCTAATAACAAATGGAAGATCAGTAGACCTAGCTGCTGTTCAAGCTTACAGCATGGTTTATTTTGTTTACAGGGGTAAGAAACCAACTGAACATGAGCCTGGAACAGATTTCAGTTTCTTGCTGATTGACAGCAATTTCCAATAGCCTTGCATATTCTACAGCAAAAGTCAGCACGTGAAGAATGGAAGAAATGCTTGCAGTACAAGAGTGGGCAGACAGCCTTAACTTTATAAATAAAACTAAATATGCATTACTAGGCTCTTCTTTGCCACCCTGCTCACTTCTCAGACAATCTCTCCTTCCCAGCAAAGACATGCTTTATTGAAATGCTTGAATAAGAATAGAAGAGCACTCTTACTCTGAAAAGTTCTGTTATGTTCACATCTCCATTTTGATTCCTCTCTCAAAGAAAGTTACCTTAACACAATTAAGAGTCAGCTCTTTCTTCTGCCTTGTTTTACCTGTATAATAAAGCAATTGTTCATGTAGTGTCCTCTTACAGCATTAGCTTCATTTTTGCAGAATTAATAAAGTGAGAACTTTTGCATTCAGTTATTTTTATTGGCATCATACTCATTTTAAATATATACAGTGCTAATTATGTACAAAATTGTGCATGTTAAAAATTGTTAGGTTACAAACTCACAAATCCTAGAAAAGTGCAAAATTTTAAAACATCTTCCACCATGCTGTACAGAAAAAAAATTCCATCATTAGCTAATATACACACTCTCAAAACATACTGATCAAACCGAAATAAGACATACAGTATACACTTAAAGCACCCAGAAGGGAAAGAGATATTGCACAGAAGACTAACAGCAAGTTTGTTACAGTGCCTGAAGGCTCATTTTCATAAGTACATACTTAATACTCCTCAGACCTAACATTTAACTCTTTTTTTTTTTAAGAAAAGGCATTTTTTGGCATTTAAAAATTCATTTGTAACCACAATTGCACAATGTGTAAGAGTCAGAAGACATTATTAACTGTTGCTCTAAATAAGGCCTTTGCACTGCCTTTTTAGCTTTATAAATTTAAACAAATGCTGAAGCATATCGAATAATTTCTTACTGAATTTCATCAAAGAAACTTTGAGTAGCAGCAAAACTTCCAACAGAAGACTGACCAGTGAGAGGTAAGTCTAAAAGCAGCGTTTGCCTAATCTTACATGAAGATGCTCCTGCATAGCTAAAGGTTGGATCAGGACACGTGTAGCAAATTTTCGTTGTTTTGTTGTTGTTTTGGTTGTTTTTTTCCTCCTCATGGCTTTCTTTAATAGATCACAGCTGCATACAACTAAAGCAGTATTACCAGGTACACATTTAAGTTTAAAATAAACTGTTACTGCAAAGCAAAAACGTCTCTCTCATGAGAAAATGCTGACTAGATAGGAAATTAAATCAATAAATGGTTTCTAACTTCATTTAGATTTACGGTACGTATGGCTAGATGTTTTGTCTTTCCATCTTAAGACATCTTAGCAGCATTAAACCATAATCTGCACTGACAATCATGCTTTTGGGACGAGAAATTAGTTACAACAGTCTCTGCACAGAGCCTAGTCACAGACCTGGAAGGTCTGGAAATACTTTCCAAGTTACCCAATTCCATCAAACGAAAATAGAAAGCACACACAACTGGAGGAACTCTGTTTGAGTCATTTTGGTAAACAGTAACTAAAAACATCAGTATTCTTCCAGTGATGCACAACAAAAAGGTGAGCAAAAACTGGACTGTCTTTGAGACAAAAACTGAGACTGTCTTTGATTAAACAGTACAAGCACACCTGTAGAGTGTTCAAGACTTCAGTAAAATGAATAATACAGCTGACTGAAAAGTAAACTGTGATGCTATGCTGCCACTCAGAGGCCTTTCTGCATTCTGACAACTATAGTACTGAAGGAGGAGATGGTGTTCTACTGATTGTTAACTGTAGAGGCTGGCTTTGTTTTACAAGTATGCATTAACAAGAGCTATTATTAATAACAAGAAATTTGTTCCCTGGGATGGAAAGAAAGGCATCTTCCAAACACTTTGGTTAAGTCTGGCATTGGTATATAACGAACCTACATACATGAGATTGCACAAAATTCTTCTCTCCCCAAAAGGAAGATGTACCTCTTGTATCACTGCCTGCATCTGCTTAGACTTAGCCAAACAAACACGCACAATTTTAAAGCAAAGCAAGTTAATACAATCTGTTGTATTAAAGTCTCTTCATTAGCTTCATTGTAGTTGCTGTGCTGTTACCTATTACAGCACCAAATCTGACTGACCATTCACAAAAACAATGATCAAGTTCAGTGAATGAAAACAAAGTCTGGAGAAGTGTAGCACTTTGTGGTATATCTCATTTAAGAACTGTCTTCAACCATCTGTAATACTTTCCGGAGATTTTGGTAATATATGCTAGTAACTAGAGTGTATACATTTGCACAGCTTAAGTCACTCCGTAGCAGGAACTTCATAGGCAACTGATTACTAACAGTGTCACATTTATCACTGAATACTACATAGGTTTTAAACCAAAAGGCATAAAGAGCCCATTTGCAAAAGCACCGAAGTACATGCTTAAATTCCCACCAAATTAAATGTGACCCTACACAGTGTTTTTATCTAGCAATATTTATTAGATCAGGCCTTAGGGTATTAGGCTATATATTTATATGCAAGAAAAATGCAGTTAATTTAAGACTGAGATTATCATTTTGTGCTGGTGTTGGTAAGGTACATGGATGACAGATGATACAGTTTCATGATAGTCTATAACTTTATGACGGAGTAGTAGATAAGTATATTGATGTGGTGTAATTCATCTAAGTCTGATGCTAACTTGAACTGCAAACATTTCACTTTCTGAATGCTGGTATAGTATAAAAACTGCCAAGGCTAGACAAGATTCTTCACTACAGGTAAAATACTAGAAATAGTATCAAGAATTACAAGCCAACTGAGAAATCTAACAAATGTTTTACTTGAAGTAAAGGAGAAATGTCTTTTAAATATCATCTTTTGGTATGCAATTTCAAATGCTAGGAAGAATTTATTCAATACTGCTAACTTCTCAATCTAATTTATATACAAATAGCAAAAGCAAGTTTTCAGTTGTTTTTTTTTTTTTTTTTTTTAATATATATTTACACACTTCCTTACTTGGCTTCAGAGGTAAGCGTATCTCTAGCTTTGATAAACATCATTAAGGATGTTCCAAAAAAGAAATGAAAGGAAGTAGCAACAAGATCTAGACAAATGTAGTGTTACAAAATAACTGTGCACTGTTTATTCTCAATTCCTAATCAGAATACTTTTTGTCTCACAGCTTTACTTTTTTTACACTTAAATCTAATTTCACAAATGTCTCACTCAACATGAAAAACAATATGCTCTACTTGGCTTGAGGAAAGTAAAAGATCAATAATTCAGTCATATACTCTGTACTGCAATGATAGACTGCAATTCAATTAGCCTGAACAGCTGACAGAAATAAAAAGACTTTCTACTTGAAAGACATACGAAGAAATTAAGCAAAATGCCACCTACTGCTCAAACTTACTACTACCTATATCTTTATTCAAAGCTGGTTTCAGATAAAGGCAAAGTGCAGACCTTAGAACCCCTGGGGACTTTCCAGTGGGTCTAGCAAGAATATTGACTGTGTGGTGGTGTACACGATCCTTCAGGATGAGGGGTGTACAAGATGAAAAGGTAACATACGCTGCTATTCTGCATAGAAGATGAAGTAGCTCAGAGCTCACCTTTTCTCATTCTGCTGTTTTGTGCAGAGCACAAGCTGTTATCAAATCTGCTCCAAAACTGTCCACATTTCAACCTGGCTCAGATAGACTGATGATCACCTAATACTCACAATGACCTGAAACGATGGTATTCAAATGTCAAAGCTCCTCGCCAGAAGTCCTCCCATCCCCAATTGCTGCAACTACATTACACATTACGTAAGCTAACACACTGCATTCACTATTCTTGAATATTAAATTATTAAAGTTATTCTCTTGTATAAACATAACCTAAACACAATAAGACATTTTTCAAACATTTGTGAACCTCTGAGCAAGTGATAAGGATTTTCTTCACAAACACTATAAAAGAACCATTTTTGCTTTTTCTCTACTTGATTCTGCTAACTTGAAATGTTATTGCCTCTCCCTTCCTCTGCATTCATACCCTTAACTTCATATATGCATTTAAATAGAACATATCTGCATACTTACAAAAACCAATGTAATGCCCCAAGTGAGTTCTTTTACAACTTCCCAAAACTACTCTCCAAAGATCTCCCCTGAAATCCCTTCTTCATGAAATCATTACGGACAAGCTTACTTCACATTCTGATGTGCACACTTTATACTTCCAGAATCACCTTATTCTTCCTCCTGGATAGGCAATTGACAAAAGCAGTTCTCACTTTGAAAGTATGGAGTCTGAAAAAAAATGAACCACTTCACTTTCAGAAATTTAATGCTCTCTTGGCAGGTGACTCAAATTACTCTTATTTTTTCTTAACCTTCTAGACAATCCAGTCTGTCACAGTGATTAATTAGAATATTGCAACTATGGATAGACCCATTTTTTCTCACTAGTCTATTTCCTCTAAAGTTGAGAAAAAATAACATTATTCCCCAGAACATGGGGAATCCCCACAAGAGGATTTTTTTTTCTTTTTTTTTTTTTTTTTTTTTTTTTTTTTTTTTTGAAGTAAAGACGTTGAGGAAGAGGATACAGTTTTAGTGAAACTAACTGAACTTCTAAAAATTATCTTTTTCCAGGAACAGGGATTAACCATGTAGAAATAAAGATAATAAATATTGTGCCAAAAGTTAATGAAATGAGATTATACACAATGGAGTTCCTCAGGTAGTTCATCAGGTCCCCAGTCACAGGGAATATATATCTGATAATCTTTATAGGAGGTACATCGCACATTCATTTCCATAAATAAATAGAAATAACAAAAAGGTGATGGCAGAGGGAAGAGAATGGTAGCCAAAAGGGAACATATTATCAAACAACCACTTCTAACTCTGCTTTTTATCTGTACTCTACTTGCATCAGAAAGATACAAGAGGAATGATATTCTCTTTTTAATAGACATACATACATGTATATACATATATACACACAGACACATATACACACATACCTTCTCATGCCAGTCAAAAAAAAAACTTATTTTTCCCTCAGCACCAGGCTTTTAACAGGATGGGGATTATAATTTATATCATTGATATTATTAAAAAGGCCAGAATGATAGGAAAACACTCCTCTATCATATATTGCTTAAGAAAACATTCAATAATGGCTTTTCAAAAATATAGCATCTAATTAAAAACTGTTTTGTTGTGTAATGAGCATGTATAGATCTGATATTTTCTTCTCACCACTATTAAACACATCTTGAAAGCAGATACACTATTTTCCTGCTTAACAGAAAAAAAGTATAGCTAGCAAGTGCTTTGGTGAATACTAAGCCAAGAAAAAGAACAGGTGCTATTTAATCTGTGCTGTAATGTTAAAATGATTTTGCAATAGAATTTGTTTTTTCTTTGCAGGAGTTGCCTTACTAATAAAGATTGACCTTTAACTGACATGGATATGCAATTCCTCCTCTGTATTTCTTCAAGATATTAACTATATTATGGGATTCCTTCCTGTTTTATTCTACTTAAAAATATAAACAATCTTTAGCAGCAAGTTTTCCTACCTCCTTCAGCTCATCCATCACCTTCAAATCTTTTGAAGTTACTCATGTCTGTACTTTTAAGAATTTTTGATAATCAAGTAGTACAACACAGATGCTCCTTGCAGACAGCCTAAAATTGAAACTACACAAAAGATAACAGCAATGGCCATTTACAGGAACAAATCACAAGAAGTTATTCATTGGTCTAAAGACATAGTGAAAAGATCATAACTGTCAACTATACTGGTTTTGAATAGTACCGCTGTAACAGAGTTAATTCACTGTTAGAAAATTAGTGCTCTCCAAGCACTGCCAAGTATCTTTCTTGTGGTCAAGGAGCATCTGGCTAATAGAGCCAGTTTTAAATCAAATACTACTTATTTTTGGTTCAATTAGCAAGGCTTGGGTTTGGAGGTCTGGTGTTTTTGGTTTTTGTGTCCATTTCCTTTTGTTTGACTGCTTTTTGCTTTTTTTCCCTGAAACCCTGTTTTAGCAGCTATTTAGAGAGAGATTCTGTTGTAACCAAATCAATGTGGTTAAGGAAAAATATGCAAGCAAGCTAACTTGCATGAGTACATATGCTTTTTACTATACCTCTACCATAGGTTCATCTTCAACAGACAGAGAGTGAAGCCCCTGAAAACAGATGTACATTTAAAGTGACCAAAATATAAAATATATTTCTGGAATCCATGAGAGAAGGTAGAAGCAGCAATCACTTGGAATCTTGAGTGTTATATTCAGTCTCTCCTGATGAAATCTGGCTGAGCCGTTTGCTTGATCCCCAGAGCTTTCGGGAAAGCTGACCTGAGCGCATCTGTTTAAAAGTAATTCAGAGAAACAAAAGGAAGGGGAAGGGATAAGGCGAATAAATTAAAAAGGAACTTCAGACACTGATTCTGGTGAAATGCAGACACTACAAGATACTAATAAACAAAGTTACACTAACAAAAGTTATTAAAAACAAACCAAAAATTACACTTAGGAATGATTCTTGGGACTGACAAAAAAACAAATAACAGACAAAACACTAACACCTGTTGTCTTTGATTGTGAACAGTTAAAGGGATATTGCCAAGTAATTCCGATTTAATTCTGAATCTACTTTAAACAGCTTAGTGTTGAGTTTAGGTATTTTGATGAGAAGAGATTGATGTCTCACAGAAGTGAGCCAAATTAGCAGAAAAGACTCTTATTTTAGAGAGTACAAACAAAAGTGATAGAATTGAGAAGGTAAAGATAACCAAGATGGATTCTTGATTATCACCTCTAAGTGATGGAATAATGCAGAGCAGTGATAACTGAGTGAAGGAAGGAAAACAAGCATATCTGGTCTCAAATTTACAGTCCTCCAAAAATCACCTGTGAAATGCTAAAAGTAAAATTTAAACCATACATAATTCGTATTGAATATTCAATGAGTAAAGATAACAACTAGAGCCCATTTAAATCCAGCACCCAGAGTCTGCTATCTGCCAACAATTTGTAAGAAACTTCACATTTCTTAAATACAGGTCCTATGACTGGCCAGTAGTGATCAATCAGCTGAAATCCCTCATAATATAAGATGCATGCCCTAACAGCACAAGCTTGAGAACAGTTCTTGACCATTAGGCCTACAAATTAAGCTTGCTTAAGAACTGTATCATTACAGCAGCAGGGTTTTATAAAAGGCACAATGCTGCTAGCAGGTGATAATCCCACTGACTTCTACAACTTCCCAACAGCTATGCAATTGTTAAGAATACACATACTTCACTTCGTAGTGGATACTATCAATGCAGAAAAACTAAAGGGCATTTCACTTGATCCACAATAAAAAACATATCTCCCTTAACCCTACACATACCTATCACCATCAAAAGCCAGAACTACAGAGGATCTTCCAAAAAAAAAAAAAAACTAAGTTCTAATTCATACACTCCTTCCTAACTACAAATAAATAATAAATAGCCCCCCACCACACACACTCTTCAAATATACTGGCTTTTGTCATTATAGAAAACTAGAAAATCTAGGACATAATTTTGTTCTTCATATATACATGTGTGTGTATGTATAAATATATCATCTATTTACATGGATATTGAGCTTGAAGACTTGAGTTATAAACAGAAAATCCTGAAAAAAAAACTGTTGGAAAGCCTCTACATTCACAAAAGGAATCCAGACTTTGAAACCGCACCTTCTCCAGAGATACAAAAAAAAAAAAAAAGGTGATTAAGAACTGAAAGCCTTCAGTCTAATGAGATGCATACATTTCAGGCTACAAAAGATTTTTTCTATGGAACAGGAAACAGTTGGCAGTGACTTTAAAACTACTATTACAACATACATTTCACAACACCATAAGCAGATTTTAATCAATTCTACAGTAGGAAAAAGCTGTCCAGCTGGAAGCTTCCCCTATTGCCTGAAACTAAATCAATTCTGTGAAGCCTTTTTAAAGTATTAAACTGCACATCTCCTAGCTAAAACATCTTTAAACACTAAGAAATGAAGCCACTCTGCATTAATAAAATATAAAGTTAAGACAAACTCTTCTGACTCTTCAGTATGTACTGAAGGTTATGCAGGAGCAATTATCACAGTTTCAAGTAGATACATTGCAGCACAATGGAGATTGAATTAGAAAGAGAGGCAGGTTTAAGTTAAGTGCTTTGAAAATAATGACAAGTACTTAGAGCAAAATCTGTGTTTTGCACAAGAAGAACTGGGTACACCTATTTGATGGATGCTCTGCCTTTGATATTGCATATGCAGTACTAACAAGTTTATATTCATCACGCGGAGCCAGAGCACATAGGGAATCTACACAAGAGATTCTTTATGCATTACAATTAGAGAATCTTAAAAAGTAATCTTTTCCCCAGTGTCAGTCAGTGCATATTAAAGGACACCTGACGGAAACCATGAAAAATAAAGGAGCTTGCTCTTGTTTCCAATTTTCTTTTGGAAAATTATTTTGTCAGAAAGTAGCTGACAACACTAACACGTACAGAAGAAAGTAGCTAGTATGACTTGTCTTATTCAGATGTCAGTGACAAAGTCTGAAAGTTAGTCCAGCTGAGCTTCCCATCTGTGATCCCCAAATATCTTTGACTCTTAATGAGAAAATTCAGTAGAGCAGTCTCAAAAGTTATTTCTTCCCCACCGAAAACTGAAACTTGCTTTTAAATTTACCCTGCCATAGAGGAGACCTCTTGCTCAACTGGAAAGCAGAAATAAGTGAACTTCCCACTGTTCGGTAGAAAAAGTTCTTGATGGTGGGCTTTACCTCTGCTGGCTTGCCAACACCAACGACAATCAACTTGCCATCCTCCAAGCCAACAAGGATGTGGCTATACTCTTTGGTGACAGAAATGCAATGAATTGGCAGTCGCATGGCTAATGGAGAGATGCTCAGATTCAAGCTGAAATGAACAGAAACCACAGAGCATTAAATTACATGTATGTTTTTACATACTGAAAAGCATCACATTGCAGTGGAGACCACACGGTCCTTGGGATGCACTACAAAATAGTTTCTCATGGATTCAATTTGTGATTTTGACCATTATGAAATTCCACAGAAAGATCAACTCATACATCAGAATACAGCTCTGATGACAAAGGGCACAGGAGGGTCATACAGAAAATTAAGATAGCCTCAGTGGAAGAAGAGGAATATTAATCCCACATCTGTTTAAGTGACAAAGATCTCTCTGCAAAGGAGCTCTGTAAGAGCAGTGTAGAAGAACTATATGAGTCACTGTAGCTGATGAGCTCCCAGTGTCTAACCAAATACAGGAACAATCACTGCTTGCCTGTATCAGACACAGCTCTTCCTAAATTACAGTAGTTCCAGGCTGATGGTTGTGATAAATGCCTACAGGGAAAGGGGCCTAGTACAACTCCTAATTTTTCACATTCTATCTTAGTTCTCCTTAAACAATTTTTTTTTTTTTAATACACAGAAAAACCCACAATTTTTAATACCATTAGCACAAGGAGAGCCCACATTACTAAATAAACCTCTGTATTTGCTTCTCAATAAGAAACTCAGAAGCACATTACCTGTAGAGATCTCGTATGGAAAGAAATCCCTGTAAGCTGCCCATCACAATATACTCGCCAGTCACACACATATCTGACACTTCTTCCTTCAGAGTCTCAGAACCCAGATGCTTTCCATTAACAGAATAGAGGTGTAATGCATTCTTATCCTAATAAAAAAATAAATCCATCACTGAGGGCATGTATATATTCCTGCTCGCATATGTAAGTTTTTGAAATTATTCTTCATTAACTCTTGACATAACATGGTAACATCACACCCATCCATCTAATCAATCCCAAATTTTCTGGAAACATCCGCAGGTTTAATTGACAGGTCCCTATTTTTTGATGATTTTTCTTAAGGAAGAAGAAAAGAGTCCTCTTATCTTCAACACCCTCACCCCCCAATCAGGAAGCAGAAAGGAACATACCTATTTTACAGAGAGAACTTTCTGGACAAAACAATGAATTTTTGATGTATTGAAGACACAGCTAACACAACCACCTTAAGTTCTTCCAGTTTTGCAATACCTTGGTTTCATCTTTCCCTATCATTCCAGTGCAACTAGTACACGTATGTTTATAGTACATTTTTCTTCCAGAAAAGTTCCCATCCTCATAGAAATCATAAGTTATACAGTTAGAGCAACTACACAGCTACTCAGAGAGAACAAATTACACTGTGAACATTATAGCTGCCTTTCTGACACAAAATTAAGTCTCATCAGCGTATTCCCTGGGCATCTTGCCTTTAAAACATATTGCTCCCCTTATAAAGCTCTACTACTGTGAGTAATGGAGCATGTTTCCCCTAGTTTTGCATTTCAAAGTAACTCTCCCAGGAATACTCGTTAGTGCATTCTTAAGACATCTTCCTTGCACGTGTTTGGAGATGTTCACGAAGCTTACAGCAGCATGCTGTGTCTGTGATTCATCTTTTCAACACGTTTAATTAAAATCCACAGGCAAAATAAAAAGGAAAGACATGGTATGGACGAAAGTCCTACAGTTAAGGAAATGAGGATAAAATCAGGCACATTTATAATTAGATGTCTTTAGCAAAAGAAGCAGATTTTCCATGAACCTAAGTAATTCTTAAGTACCTTAAGAGTGGTCTTTCCTTCTATGCTGGTGTGGACAACGATATGGCCTTCCCAGGACACAGCCAGATTAGGAACAGTCAGCAGGAGGGAACTCTCACAAGGTGGTCGCAAAGTTCTCATGTACTGACCTTTCCGAATGGTGCGGATAATAACAGTCCCATCCTGCAGAGACCAAATTTAGGTAAGCTGATACTCAGCAGCAAGCTCTGAGGTAAATTACACTAACACACACAATGAGTATTTATTAAAAAATGAAGTATTTTGAAAGTAAAGTCAACTATGGATTAGGACTTCTGAGCATTAAGGGCTCTGCATGAAGAATCCTTCCCGTCAAGGCCACGTAGTAATGGCATATGAAAAAACAAATTCAAATAGAACAAGAGGAAAAGGATAGACAAGAAATCAGCCATTTTTACAAGACACATTTTTGAGTAGGCATTATTCACATTAGGTAGTCAGAGCTCAGCAGTCGGCCAGTACAGTACAGAAAGGCAGAATACAAGTAAGCTGCAAAGAGCCTTTGGGGTTAGGCAAACAGGGAACAAGCTGTTGCAGAATTGTTTCTCTTAAAAGAAGTTTAAGTACTCCAAGTAAGTTCACACACTTTGAAGCTCATCAGCACAAACTCACTTGACATACTAGTTGAGGTCTATGCTGTGTAGAGTCTCTTTAGAGACTGCTGACTTAGACAGCAAGGGAGATAGCACATCTTTTTGACACGCAAGGTTGAAGAAAAGATTGTGAAAAAACATTTTCGGTATTGTGCTTAACATCAAACACACTGTAGGCTTGGACTGAAGAGCTGGCAGAGAAGGGAAAGTATGAAGATGCTTACCCTGGATCCTGACACTGCCATGTCCAGCTCAGTGCTGATGCCAACACTTGTAACTTCATCAGTATGCCCGTAAAGGATCTGTAATGGCTTAGGTGTCAGGCCTACAGGCATTCCTCCCTGAGAGTAACAAAAAGTGCAGTGACATTCTCTTGCAGCTGAAGGATAAACTAAAATAAGTTTCTGGTACCTTCAATGTTAGCTGTGAGAGGTGTATATCTGACATAGGCCGAAACCAAAGGAACAACTCATTTCAATTTATTGCCTTTTACGTCAGTAGCCCTATTTAGTGAAATGAAACAAATGAACATACAAACATTAAGTAGAGGTGAAAGACAATTCCATCGCATTCCTTCTGATGATCAGGTGTGCAAGGACCACAGTGAGCACTCCAAACAGGATTCATTTGTTCACCCACTCACTACTACTTTGTTATCTGAGCTTATTCAATTCTTTATATTTTAACCTGGAATGCAGCCTTGCCTTCATAGACAAGGTCAAGGAAAATGATACCTGTTTTGCTTAAAAACTAAATTCATTCTGATTTTCTAGGGAAAAATAAGGAAATAAAACTTCTAAGTGACTGCCACTGGCATGATATACAGTGGAAATTTTGCAATAATGATTACTAAAAACAATGTATTATTTGCCCACACGATTGCAGGGTGTCAAGATGATTTAGTGCTTTTGCTCCAGCAAGTATACTGTCAGCATATAAAGACTTGGTCAGACCAGCTCTCAAGCAAGAGCTGTGCTTACAGCAAAGGTATAGTAAAGAAGGTATGGTTCTGCAGAGTCTCCATTATAACTAATGTGAGAGAAATCTGACTGCCAACACCAAGTCCTGAAATCCTTGATTACACATGAACTGCAGAACAAGTGTCAGAATAAAGAGCTAAGAAAGATGGCAACAACGCAGAGCAGAAGTGGCAGCACGCAGAACACTACTGCCACAATGGAAATAACATCACACTTTTAAGTACACTTTTACAGTGTGAAATCATTAAAGAATTCTGAAATGCCAGCGTAATGTAAAACTAGTTAAACAGACTAGTGATACCTCAGCTAATTCCTGGTTTAAGTCACCAGTACTTTCCACAGAGGAAATGCAATGCTAAAATGCAACTGCTAAAGCTGTTAAATCTGAAAGAAGGAAAATCAGTGAACCATCATAGCAAGATAATGAAACAGAAAAGGTTTCAGAAACTGCATTTCAGAGTAAGTCTAAATAACATACCTGCTGAACTATTTGCCATATCATGCAGGTTGTATCTCTGGATCCAGAAATTAAATGAATTCCACAGTAATCTATCGCCAAGCAGGTCACAATATCTAGATGAAGGAGAAACAACAAGAATTTGATGTAGTTCAACTGTAATTTCACCACAGTGTGATGGTGAGCATGCAGACTGTCCACTGTGTAGCCTCATTTACAGTCAACATGAAGCATTCTACCATGCTAACAACTGATGAGGCTGTATCAACCAATGAAGCCATTATACAACTAGGTGTACTAATGTGACTATCACCTTTGTTCCCTAACAACAGTCATCAAGCTTTATGTTGAAACTACATTAAATTATCACAGCAACTAAAAAGTCACTCAACTATTTACATATAATCACAGTTCAGCTAATAATCTGTTCTTACACTGCCATTCCGTTATGATTACTGCACCTGCCAGTTTAGGTGCACTGGTTTTTAACTCTTGCAGAAATACAAACAATACATAAAGCCTTTCATTTCACTATGTAAAGAGTTACTAACCCATGTGCCTGATGTGCTGTCCAACCAGCTTGCCTTTTGTAAGAGATGTTACTCTGATGCTATTGTCCCAGTGTCCTCCACTAAAGAGGAGTTTTGCATCATGAGATACTGCAAACAACTTGGAAGTGATCTCCAGTCCTGGTGCAAAAGGACCACTCATGTTACGCTGTGTTCTGGAAGGAAATGATGAACAATTAAGAGTGAACTTGGTTCAAACCTTTCTTTTTAAATTCTTGTATCTTTAAAAAAAGAAATTCTGTAGAAGAAATCTACAGAAGAGGCTATAAAAAAATGATAAAATTCTGTCCCCTTGATATCCACAGCAAAACTGTCAATGCCAAGAGTGGAAAACAGATTAAATCATGCAATTTGTAGTTCTGTACAAATAACTAATTACCCTAATAATGTAATTTTAAAGTAAAAGAGGAATCTTCTAAAAAATCAGAGACAAATGACAACTTACACCTTCACTATATTTCAAGACTGTATGAAGAGCATTCATCTCAAATTCCAAGATGATGTTTTATAATAAATAACTAGAAAAATAGAATGAGAAGTAGCTCTAAAGATGAAGAGCCATGAAATATCCCTTACAGGGCTCTTTACTTGGAAGGTAATATTAAGCACTAGAGGATGCATACCTAGTTAAAAATTCAGCCAAAAGAAAACAGTACAGTCCATTTACTATCAAACAATTACTCTATTTTATTACTATAGATGCATTCAGCTCATGTCCTCATCATTTGCTTACTTGGGATTTGTCACTGTAGTATCTTTGATGAATGTAAAATAGTTGGAGATGTTTTTATCATAAGGCAGCCAACCATGGGTTCCAATAATACAATTTAGACTTGCTGTTACCTGCGAGAGTTAGAAAAATTGATGAAACCTAGAGACTTTTTCTGGTATTGGAACTTACATAAAAAAAGGCAAAGCAGCACATTTGCACCTATTTATTTTGACTGCTGGCACTCTCCAAGATTAATATTGACACATGCAACTTACCAATATCTCTGGGCTTCCCTGAGACATAAAGGAACGCGACTGATTCTTGGGGACAACAGCTTTGACAATAGGGACACCATCACTGATTCCCTAAGAGAAAGGACATAGTTTTGATTTGATTATACACAAGAGGTAAAGGTCAAGTGTAGAATCTGTTAAGAGTTAAAACCTAAATCCTCTAATCAAAACCAGACCTTTAAAGTACAGTTGGGCATTGACACACACGTACTCAGTTCATACAGGTATATAGCATCACAAGCACCAGGGCATAAACCCTAGCTCTGCCCTGTAACCTTGAGTTTAGTCACCAAACCTAGCGAATCCTCAGGTACCACCAGCGCTGTTCTTAGCTTTCATGATTTAGTTGTTAACTTAATACCCAAACAAGACTCAAATTCATGTCCATCACATACAGATTTATGGGATTCAACTTCTTTAAAACTAACTAAAAAGATAGATTGTTTCATACAAATTGCACTTGAAAGGATTTTCTTCAAATAGGAAGCAAGTCTACTTTCATGTGGCTTATGGCTTTCTGTTTCAAGAAGATCAGAAGTCTCAGATCAAACTTTAATCAGCTTCAAATAATGCATCTACCTCTATGAAGAATGACTTCAGTTCAGTGAGGTGTTGGAAGAGATTCAGAGTAGAGGTATCACTTCTAGTTAGTCTTTGCACTACCTCTTCTGCTGACAACCTCTGAGGATGGGGCTCCTGGAAGATGAGATTTGAAGAAGCATCAAATTAGACAAATCAGACACTCAACTTCTTTCAGAAAGAAAATGAACTTATTTTGAAAACGCTATGTTAAATTTCCCTCACAATGATCCTTAGAAATGGTAATGTGGAAAATTTATTTTTCACAGGTTGTCTAACTCAGTTGAATTTAACCAAAGGTTTGACTGAGAAGGAAAAGAGCATTACCTTCAACAGCTGGCAGGGAGTTTGTCCAAAATTGTTTATCATCCCTTCTAAAGCCTTCCTTTCCTTCTCATCTGTTAAAGCATCCAAATCCACTGCTCCTGGATTGCAGCAAGAAGGGTAGAAGAAAAAACAGAAATCAAACCATTCACACAGAAAAGATTAGCAAAAAAACAACAGAAATTCATCACGGCATCATCGCCCTTTCCCACAGGTAAGCCTCCAAACTACACATTCATATAAAATACAACCTGAAAACACCATTGTCTCCGTCAGTGTGAGAAATGCAGATTTTTTGACTTGTCAAATGGATTTAATGCACTTCACGCATGCAATGTGTTACACACAAAAGCCACCCAAAATTCACTTTTGGTGTTAATATTAATATTATTTTTAATAAACTAATATTTTATTATATATATATATTTTAGACTAATATTAATTCACAATATTTTTTATTCAGTTTGCCTCAACTCCTAAGCCTTTCCTATGAATGCTTTTAGGCAAGTGAACAAGAAACTTGTATTCTGACAAATACAAGTTATGCTCTCACATTCCATAATTCTCTTGCTTTACTGTATGTTACTACATGGCATGATCACAAATCAAGTGCTTTCTAGCTAATACCCAAAAACCCACAATTCTGATAATAACGACAGGAAAGTAAGTATACTGCTTTGTACCTTCATAAGTACAATAATAGAACACATTGAGTGCCTCCACTGCAGCTGGTCCCCTCTGCTTGTAGCCAAAAATCAAATCGATCCATTCATGAAGATGAGCAGAAACATACTCTGATTCCTAGAGGAAAAAAAAAAAACCACTCAATAGTAAGAATGCTGTTCCTTCTTGAAGTATTTACTGATTTCTGTGAAAGAAATTCCTAAAATAAGCATATGCACAAATTAAGTGTACACTAATGTATGGGGCAAAAGCATAGAATATGGCATAAGCACCAACTGCCAGAGAGAAATTTAATACAAAGCAACACATCTAGAGCTGTTGAAATGCAGACATGAAAGGCAAGGTAAGCTTCTAGTTCTCTATAATTATTAAAATTCAAGGGGAAGCTTATCACCCAAAATCATTTAGTTCTGCATTGTATCTCCTAAGGAAGCAACATTCAAATCATCAGCATCCTTAGGCTCTTTCCTTTTTTCATTCAAGCATTTTATTTACATGCACAAGGCTATCAAGTGAAAATTCTTTCCTTATTATTTCATGCATAACCATCATCTTACCAGAGCTTTTCTATGTTTATAAATGAAGTCCTCTGGGGAATGGGCCCACTTGGGGAGAACAACATCATTTACTGCTTCTTTGGAAATTTGAAGCTGACCCAAGTTAAAGCCTAGTGAAAATTTTGGAGAATTTGAAGAGTTACTACAAAATACTTCCAAAATCTTGCTTTCTCAATAAAGGTACAAAGGGTTCAAAAGAATGCAAGGGAAATAATTCTAGCAAGGACATAGGAGGCTAAGATCTACTCTGAATCTTTCAAATGTTAAGTGATATGGGATAATAGTTATCCACAGCATCTAAATGAGCTAGAAGCTGCAGTCTCAATCTTAAAAGAAGCATTAGTCATTTACACATCAGAAAAACATACCTGCATTTGCTCTATTTTATCAGCACTAAAACTTCAAAACATTTCAATAAGATTATGTGTAAGTATGACCTAATAACTGATAGGTTTAAGTTATCTTAGAGTCAAGGGTTCCAAATCTTAAATTCTACCAGCTTTCATAACAGCCCTAAAATATTTAAAAGACTTTTGAAAACATGACTTAAGTGTTGCAAATTTTAGTAACTTACAACTCTAGTAACTGTAGCTACCAGACCAAATTATCAGCAGCACAAACTTGCAAATCTACTTTTAAACTGCCTAATAGGAAATAAAAAATTCCCCTGGGCAAGAAATTCAAAGAAGAAATATCTAGGAGTCTCACACATCAGAATTCAGGGCATTCTCCTTCTAAATTTTATATATGACTGAAATAGTTTGTTTCCCCCCCCCCCTTCTCTTCTCATACATTTTAAAATTTTATATGGGTCTAAAAATCAACCAACTTCACATGATATTGTTAGATAACAGTAACAATTTGCCTAGAATAACAGATGTGATGTTTTAAGTTGTCCAAGCCATCATTCAACAAATCTAGTATAACAAATAATAATTAATATCTACTAACTTCTATGTGATCTATTTCTATTTCTATTACCTTTTTAAAAAAATATTCAAATGAGCATCTTTGCTCTTTTGTTAACCAAACAATAGTTTTAGCCATCCTTAATCTCCCACTCTGAGTTTTAAACAACATTTAGACTACTGCTCAATATAACTGCTCTCACTGAACAGTTTTGAAGTCAGCACGATGAAGTAATTTCCACAAGTATATTACTAGGCTTAAAGATTAAAATACACCACAGTATTCACAAATGGTAGGAACAATTCTTCTCAGAAGAGGAGTGCTCTATGCAGAATATTCTGAGCAGTCTATTTACCATTTTGGTTCTCCAGGAATTCTGGGAAGTAGAAAAATTCTGGAATAAGTTCCTTGACATCATTGGGGTTATCCATGAGTGCTTGCCAGGTAGCAGGAATAGAATGGAACTGTCGATCAGCACAATCAAACCTGGGGGACAGAAAACTCGCATCAGATTGATTACTTCCTTGGTAAAAATGACATGGAAGAAAAAGCTGGTACTACTTTGCTCATAATGTACCTGCCACTTTGAAGTTGGATATGAAGAGTTGTGAAAGGTTCTACCCGAATGAGGTAATGCATGACACCAGCAGCATTTGAGTAGTGTGTCCCATAGTGAAATTTGTCAATCACTCCAAGGGGATCCTCAAAATTATCATATCTTTAAAAACAAAAGACAGCAACAAAAAACTTCTATAAATATAAATGAGCACTGCAGCTGATATACACACAGATTATACTTATTGGAGGGAAGGACTCAAAAGAAATGATCACAGTAATTTGTGAAGGAGAATCACATCCAGTTCTATTAAACATGGGAACACAAATTCTCAGAAAATCCCTAAGCAAAAGGGACTTTGATATGGTGGATCGCCCTTTGCATACCTGTTCTTTATACCCTTCCCTATGCATCTGTTATAACATATCAGAAACTGGATAAAGGGCAAGACTGGCCCTGTTTAGCATGAGTTCATACAAGAGAAAAAAGCAAACCCATGAATAAGCTGGATATTACTGAAAGAATTTGTTGCCTGCAAGACTGAAAATATCAGTTTGTGTGACCATTTCAAGATGCAGAGATGCCCATTTTCCTCTTCTGCTGGCAAACTCACTCTACAGTACTATGCCACCACCCACTTGATATATTCCTCCACATGACAAAGCTAGTAAGCAAAATTACAGTTGAGTACTGCTAGAGAATCAGTTTCATTATAGTCAGGAATAGACCCAAATCAAAGCAAATTCTCCATGTTCCAAGTTCTATGGAGAAAACTGGTTTTGCAGGAAGCCTGACAAGTGCCATCTGGTATAATAGCACTCACTCCTCACAGTAGCAAAGAGGAAGGATAGATACACTGATGTGTAGGTGTAAATACTTGTCATTCCTACATAGAAAGGAACTGCTGGGAGCAACTGAGTTACATTTTATTTCAAAGATAACCTACACACACACAAAAAAAGCAGGAAACAGATCTAGCTTCTCATCAACATGATTTCACATTCCTTATTTTGAAACAGATACAAGACACAGCATCTCTCTTCAAACTACAGACCTTTTCATCTCCCCAGAGAAAAATCTCAATTTAATAACAGTAAATTTTGTCCTTTCAGTGCTGCGTGAGCTAACCAATCTGAATACAGTAGAAACAAAGAACTGTCAAACCTTTGCAAAAGCATCTGGGATGTTAAATCGTTAGATTTTTAAAATTTCAGTGTCACTATTGCATTTTTAAATACATTATTACCATAGAATCTCAAATGAAAAAGAAATAACTAAGTGCTCAAATACATACTTCTCTTTCACAGCCTTAGCATTCTTCTCATTTACCACTCCAATGGGTTTGGATAGATCCCTAAAGACTGCTGGATTATTCAGATCCAGTTCTTCAGATGTATAATCTCGTAAAATCCAGGGGAACTGGAAAGAAAAAAATGAATCAAACAGATTAAATCCATCTTTAAAAAACAGAAACAGTACGGAAGTTCAACAAAAACTTAATAATTACCACAGGATATTGAGCAAGATCATTGTAAGTTCGTCCTGCCATTGTGTTCAGCTGAATAAGGTAGTCAAAGTTGGATATTTCTCTATTCACCCATTTCTGAAGGACAAAATAAATAAAGAACATGGAAGCAAGTTACACATCAGTATTTCCTCACTGCTGGAGAGTACTATCAGCAAGTAAAAGGCACTAGACTATGAGCATGGTATGAATGTTCAAATTTCATTTCTCACAGTCACTATTATTTCCCATTTGATTTGATGATTACACTACATTTTACAGAGTTGCTACATTTCACTGAAATACATTGATTGTGCTGTATTTCATTGAAATCATATCCTTGGTTGATATCAGTACTGTTTTAAAATGCAACACAGCAGACAGCTAGCAGCCTTAGAACAAAAAGGGGAAGCAAAATAGAAATGAAACAGAATACAGGTGAACAGATATGGGAACTGGGAACTGAACTTTGAAATTCATTAGAGTTCAAAGGTCAGAACTTATAAATTTTTCTCCCATTGGTTAATGGTAGAAGAACATGTAAACATATGTTGTCCTTCCTCCATTATTCTATTTTAAACCAATCAACCAACAGAGCTGTGATTAGAAGGATTAAAGAGCTTTATGCAGTAAGATGGAAACATTTCACTACAGAATATACAGATATACTACATGAATATACAAAATGATACCTTATGTCCTTGGGAAAAAATTAAAAATGAAGTACTCCCAATATTTTTTAAATTCTTAAGTAAGAACTCCCTTCCCCTCCTCCATTCCCTCAGAGAGGACAATGATTGTAGGATAACAAGATAGAAAATAAAAATCAATTAACTGTATTTAGAGAAGTGATCCATGTTTAGGGTAATATCAAAACATCCATTTTTACTTTTACAAGTGAAAAACCAATTCCCTTAAAACCATACTTCCTGCTCAACCTTCATACATGCTTTGCTGAAAGCCCTGTCCTGAAAAGATGGCAGGAACATTATTTGCTCATGTATTGAGAGAAGACTGAGAATACATGTAAAAGACCACAGACCAAAAGCAAGTCTCCTCCATGTTCTCTACTCTTGTTGGATCACTTGTAATAATCACATCAGCACCAGACTATTTACGTGGCATAAACTCAGTGACTGTGAACACGAAGACTGCAATTCTAAAAAAAATGCATGTGGAAGTTTAGATATCAGAGAGACATCAGAGAAGTTGGCAGTTGCCATTGGAAATGATAAATAAAAATCAGTACTCAGGGACGTATAGAACTCCTTCAAGGAGCAGGATAATACCATTTATGCTGAAGTTTCATACCTGCATCAAACCTGAAGCTTTAAAGAGCTCCTGAGGAGATCGGGTCCCAGAAATATTTGGAGAACGCAGTGACAATATTCGACTGTATACTTTGTTTCTTACCTGTTCAAACAGCATAAAAATATATATTTTAGATATTGAAGCTGACAAGTACACAATTTCACTGTTAGTTACAGTGCAAAGCAAATGGAACATGGTTACACTTTAAACATTTGTCTCTTGCTGTATAAGCCTTTGGACACATGGATACGATATCCTTCAGTTTCAGGACATACATCGTGAAGTGACTTTTGTTGATGCTACAGTAAAAGAAATTCCACTAAATATTCTTCTAAGAAGGCTGCTATTCAAATAAGCTTTCACTATTTTCCTTACAAAACTAACACAAAGATTGATTTATTTAGAATGTTTTTCAGCTGTTATTCTTGAATTGACTGACTAATATGTAACTTCCCTTAAGTCCTGATATTCACCTTAGTTCCATGTTCAATAGACCATTTACATTAACGCAGGAGAAAAACAAAAGTTCATTAATCGTAAATCACAGAACAATATTATCTCTAACTTTGTATTTAAAAACGTCTCTGTTATTAGTAATTAATTTACTTAGAATATTTTTTTAAGAGTGCAAGCTTCACAGAATCTTAGGGGTTGGTAGGGACCTCCAGAGATCAGGGTCCAACCCCCCTGCCAAAGCAGGTTCAAGACATTCAGATTACTACTGATGTAATTTTAGTTGAATTACAGCTCTGTATCACTAAAAAGAGACAGGGAAAGTCTTGTTTTATTTATCTTTACTCAGTTTTCATATGTCAGACTGAGTTTTTTGGAGGCTGCAAATTTATATAATCTTTAAGCATAGCAAATAACTCACCATTAGTGTGCCAGTTTCATGAAAGACACCAGATACAGATAAGGTCAGTGAACTAGAACTTGACACTTGTACTAATAACAGTAAACAAGAAAATTTAGCAAACACAGACCTCCTTATTGAAGTTGAGGAAGTAGTTGGTTTGATCTGTAAGGAAGATCTCCAAAGCTGACCTCCTCAGGTTGTACCGACGCAGATGTATCTCTCGAATTTGAGAAATGTGCCATTTGAAATCAAAACCAACCCCTAAGAAGAGCACTTGGGTTACTGGATTTGGAATCAAAATCTTTTCAAAAACTTTCCTTATTCAAATAATGCAGTATTAAACACCCTACAGTCAACCATAAAAAGCATTTTTTATACATGGCTTGGTGAAACATTTTGCTTGGAAGCATTACTAGCCTCATCTGCTCTACTACAGGAGAAAAAAAGACGGGCAATAACTAATAGGATGAAGAATCTGGTTTTGCTTTCTGATCAAAACACATTATGAATGTATTTTGTTGACAAAAAATATGAACTGAAACATCTTTGCTTTCTTAATCAGGCTCAGCTTCTGATTAAGCTTCTGTGTAGAATTCTCAAAAGGTTAGCTTCTTGATCTATAGTTTCTCAAATTTTACCAACAATTTACTGTTTTCATGCTTAACCATGCATATTTCATTGAAGTTCCTTAAGTAACAAAAAAAGCCATTAATTTTTACATACTGTTACTTACTCCTCCTCCTACTTAAAACTACAACTTACTACTCTTAATCAGCACATAAATGAAACATGTCATGTAGAACAGAAATGTGGTTTAAGAAATAAATTAGAGGAAATAGCATGATGCTCATTAGCAGCATTGTCAACAAATCAACTATTATTTTTATAGAAATAATCAACATAAGAGCTCAGTTTGCATAGTTTCAGATTATTTACTATAATTGGATTGGTCAGAGGCTGACCTTCAGGAACAATATTAAGTACAGATCCACACCCTACTTTTTTACAATTAGTTTGGTGCTAAATCTCTACTGAAAACAGAATTGCTGAATTGAAAATAAGAAGCCATTGGTTATGCTCACCCTCCTCTTTTTCGATGCTACCATCAAAGAAATATAGGTGCTGGGTAGTGACCTCCAGTCTGCCAGGTATCACATCAATTATAGTAATCAGTTCACAGTTTTCAGACAATATTAGCTTTTCTTTCTGACTCTGTTCATCCTTGTCATCCCTACCAAAAAAAGCACTAGGTGTTAGGGGTTGGGTACGTTATACAGTTGCTTAGATACTTGGTACAGCTTAGAAAAGAATCAAATTTGAAAGACAAAAAATACACCATGCAAATTTATATGAAACCACTTCCATTAGCATTTAGAAGTCCAGTAGTCTGGTTTGAAAACATTTCTTAACATTGTTTTTCGGGCTTGCTATTTCAGTTTCAGGCACAATGAACTTGACTTCCTCTGAAGTACAAAAACAACAGGTTGCATTTCTTTCGTATTGAAGGTACTTGAGTGATCTGGCCTGAAGCTAATCCCTGGTTCCTGTTACTGAAGTGAACTTCAGACATATTTGAAGAAGTGGCTGATCTTAAGTCTACAGAGATGCTTTCAAAAGTTACTGAATGTTTGCCTGTGAGGTACAAGAGAATTCATCAGCATCACTAAAAAAAAAAAAAAAAAAAAAAAAAACCACCTCCACATCTTCTGGGCTTCAACAGCATAGACACACAGGCATGTGCACAGTAGCCAGAGTGAAGGGAATCAAGTGTTTACCATCTCTTCCTCCTTGATCCCCACCTCTCTATTAAGAAAAAACTGAGAGGAAGAGTCTCCTAAAGTCCATGAACGAAGCACAGCTGATCTTCTCCCCTGAATGAGACTATTAGATTACACTAGTTAGATATTCATGCTGTGCAACTGACAGCATAATGAACAGCTCTGGCTTCCCTGGACAAGAGCTGGTTCCAAACTGGTCCACACCCTCACAGGTTAGACCATCTCCTGAGAACTACAACAAATGCACAGTGGGAAGCCTCAACAATCCTGCAATCTCAGACCAACTGAGAGCAGCGAATCACAAATCCTCACAAATGCTTCCTCTGAACTTAATACACTCAGACTTCCTTTCCTCTGGTGCTCTTCATGCATCATTGTTTATAATGAGAAAGCAGCAGCTTTTCTGCTACACAAATTACTACAAAACCCTGGATTGGACTACTAAGGACAAACAAAGAGGAAAGTTTTGCATGCTAATCAATTCTTGAAGTTGATTCCCTATTCCTTCCCACATACAAATTACATAAATGAATTTCAGCAGTTCATTGCTGTTGCACTTACATATTGGAACTGGCTGCTGTGTCTTCTTCTGGCAGTTCAAGCACATCATCTTCCAAGTCACTCACTTTCACCTGCTTCACCACCTCCAGAAGCAGAGACTCACTAGAGGGTTGTGTCTGGTACACACCTATCGTAACAGGTGTAACAGCTCAGAAAATTTTTGCTAATCCATTTTTAGAAAGTTAAACTACTGAGTGGATCTTCTACTGTTGAATGCTATCTTCAATCAAGAAGCAACTTCTTCAGACTCTTTCAATACTTTAGAGGGCAAGCAGAACTTTTTAAAAATGCTCCATGAATTACATTCAAATATATGTCAAGTTAATTGGTAACGGTACATTTCAGAAAACAGTGAAATTTGACTGGTATTCACAATACATCAAAACGATTAAGGAACATTAAAGCAAGAGGGTGGTGAGGCAGTAGAAGAGGCTGCCCAGAGATGTGGTAGATGTTCCAATCCTGGAGACTTAAGGCAAGGCTGGATCAGGCTCTGGACAACCTCATGTAATTATGGGTGTCCCTCTTCATTGCAGGGGAGTTGGAATAGATGACCTTTAACAGCCCCTTCCAACTTTAAGGATTCTACAGTCTTATGTATGTATATAAATTACCTATATATACAGAGAAATAAAATTTACATAACTATACGAGGAAGACAAAAACCCTGAAAACTGTATTCTAATGCAGACATTTCCATTAAGATATTCCATAGTGTTTTGCCAGATGCTCTTACAGCATGTAGGTTTTAGAGAAATGCACCTTGGTGGGGTTTTTTCTTGTTGTTGTTTTTAGTTAATCTGGGTTTACAGGATCCAAGAAAGATATGCAACTGCCTATTATAAAACAAAGGAGCTCTTGAACTATTTTTCCACCAAAAATACACACTTCAATGAACAAGAGGAAATTTTTCTTTCCATTGGGAAAAGAAGCTGCTTCAGATCAAAGCATCACTGCTATGTTAAACATTATTACCGTAGAGGGAATAACAAAAAAAAATATGATTTAACTACCTGTAACACACTGATTGTTAAAAACAGACCTATCAGAGAAAGTCACAGAATCCAAGTAAACCATTAGGTATAACATTACCTAAATTATCTCTTAGGTCACTAGCATCCTGATGAGAGTTGAAGTTGTAATTCTGCACCAGTTTTAGTCTCATACGTGAAAAATTTTCAACATTCGAAAGTTTCCAGTGAACAGGATGCTGTTTCCTGAGAAAACAAGAATATCCATGTAAATACTTCAAAGAAGGTAAAAACCTATGAGCAAAACGATTACAAAGAAATAAGTATTTTAAAAAATCCTCAAGCCACCTACACATTGGCAGACTGCAAAACATAAAAGCTACAAATTGCATTTCAATAGTATGTCATATTGCAGCTCTGATCATCCTAAAACATTTTGCATGCAGCATTCATTTTCAACTGAAATACAGCAAATTGTTTACACTAGAAGTTCCAGAAAGTCTTTAGTTAGAATTCACCCACAAGTTAGGGCAGGCAAAATGTAGCATTTTAAATTGACATCAGCTTCATGCACATAAAAACCTCTAACTTCTTATTTTCAAAGACTATTCTCTCCATCCAAAGGAACCATTTAAGAGTAGAATATCTCAAGAGGGTTGTTTTGGTTATTTTTTGTCTTTTTTTTTTTTTAAGAGTAATGTTGATAATCAATTTGCATTTGTCACTCCAGGTAACCAGCTCAGCAGAACATTTCAAACTTCCAATGTTTATAATTGAAATGCAGAAATCATTAAGGATACATTCAATATTAAGTCCACATGTCAAGAACAGCTATTCAAGTCAATTTGACAAGGTTCTAGCCATATGAAATAGTAAGTTAATCACACGAACTAATTCCTTTCAAGCATCATATCCTGTTTGATTCAAGAAATTCACTTACATTTCAGACCAAGGACCACGTTCAGAGAGCAAATAAAGTTGGGCTGCTCTCCACTGTCTCAGAGTAGCTGTGTGTTGACTATGAAGTTGCTTTAGCATACTGTTATACCGCAGGTTTTCCTGTCGAGCCTTTCTGCTGAACGGTTCCACAAAATGCTCCTGAAAGACCATTAAAAATAAATCTAATACTGAAAGAACGGTTTTTGTAACTTGCAAGAATTCTTGCAAATGACAAATATATAGAAGTGGTTTAGCAGTAGACATTTCTGAAAATGTAAGGCATTGCTTACAAGAGAGATTTTTGAAGACTTACTGCTGTTTAACAGTTAATTCTAATGCTTGAACGAAATCTGAACCTTACACAGAAAGGTCAGTTCAGAAACAGTTTTTCCACGCAATAAATGGGACCTGCTAACTGTTCTAAAACATTCCCTAGAGTTGAGAGAATTTGAAATGTTAACTCATATCATAATGGAGGTTTTAATAACTCAGGTTTTAATAATTCAAAACATACATCAAAGCGAAAAAAAAATAGCTTATAGCTAAGGATAATCCCAGGTTACTGTACTATGGAAGATCTGTCCTGAAATAATTCTGCTTACAGACAAGACTCTTAAAAACAACAGAATTAAATCTTCTACATGTATATATAGTCAGACTCCTCAGAAAAATCTTCAACAGAACCACCAACATGCCTGCAGTAACTTGAATTGGGTTATTTTGGAATTCAATTTCTCCATTTTATTTTTTTATTAATCCTGAGACATAAGCTACTAAAAACCTTACCTGAAATTTCAGCTTGCTTTCTCCTCTCTCCCGATCTCGCTTGTGCATATTCACCATAAATGCCTCATAACAATCCTTCCAATAAACTGCCATCTGCTCATGACCATGTCTGAAGGAGTTTTCTTCATACTGCTTCATATTTGGAATAATCTGTTCCCATCAAAACAAAGTATGATTTCTGAATATGAACTGCTCTGCTCTAATGATGAAAACAAGCATGAATGACACCAAAAGAGTTAACTACTTACATATTTATCAATATAAACCTTCCATTCATCAGATCGGCAATATTCTTGGAAGTCCTCAAAGAAAGAGGGGCTGCCATTGGTAGAAGGCAATGAAGGGAGATGCAGATTCATGAAGAGAAGTTCATAAATTTTGGATACCAGCGTCCGAACGAGTGGAATCAAAAATGAGTACGTTTCTGTCTTCTCTTCAATTGATCTACTTAAGATGCCTTCTAACTTCCCCAACAGGTAGCATGCTTCAGGTTGACTCTCTATTACTTTGGTCTGAAGAAGGGTGTTCAGTTTTGCTGCTGCCATAGCACAGACCTACATAGACAAACAATAAAGTGAGTGCAACTCAAAATAGTAATTTGGAGCACTTATCTTTTAGCACAGAAGTATTTACATACTCTGTTTGTATCTCAGGTAGCCTAAGGGCACACAGGCATCACATACAGGCACTGTTCACTTAATTCAACCTGAGTCGGTTGCAACCTCAGTCACATGTCTGCATTAAGGTAAGTATGTGCCTAAACAAACAAGTCTGGGTTTTCTGAAGGGTTCATTATTCCAAACACAGCTCTGCTAACTTTATAACAACTGTCCATTCAGCCTAACAGTCCAGATTCACATGCACTGAATCTATGCAAACCTGAAACCACTAACAAACATTTTATGGTAGAAACGAAAAGTTGCTATCAGGACTGCTATCTTACTGCTACTAGAAGCTACATAACCTCCAAGTTCAAACAGCTTGTTCTCTACCTCATTCACACATTCAAGATATGCACATCGATGGGACCACAGAGTAAGTTTGCAAATTTTTTTACTGGGGCTTACCATTTTCATGTAGAAGGATAAAAGACTGCCATCACTCTTCTCACTGGTACAAGCAGATCCTTCAGAATCAGAACAATTACACCAGATATGCCCTTAAAATATATTGGAATTTGCAACAAACCTGTAAGTTGTCTTGCGCAATGAATCCAAGGAGCAACTGGACTTGCACCTGTGAAAACCAGGCTGCTTCTGGGCCAGCAGAGTACCAGACTGACAGGCTATCCATAAGAATCACTAATTCCTCCAATAGCTGTCGTAAAAGCAGAAGATTTTTGTAAAACAAATTACCAGTAACTATTCCAGATGGAGATGCAATCATTTCAAAGAGCTGTAGAATTCCCACTTCTAAGTTACCCAAAGCCATATCATCGTCCTAAAAGATTGTAGCTAAACCAGTAATATGAAAAAATTGACTGTAAAATACAACTAGCCTAGTATGTTAACTCAAGTGTCTCCTGAATAAAGCCAAAACCAACATATTGTATATATGTCTATCTTCTTCCTTTAACTTACTCCAGGAAATGTCAACTCCTTAAAAAAAGCTATAGATTCCTGCAGCAGGATTGCTACAATTGAAAAGACATTCTTATCAATCATGCAGACATTACACCAACAACCAATTTCTAGTTCAGTATTTATGGGTTTTCATTTTATCCTTTTATTTTGTGTTTTATGTGATATGAGTAATGCCAATATAATTCACTAGCAACAGTAATATGTATGGTGCCTTGAGAAGTAAAGCAAGGCTTCATCAATGAATACTAAAATTGATGAGAAGTTTGAAGCTTCTTAACTACCAATACCTTACATTAGGAGTTCTTTCTGAATCTCTCCTAACATAGAAACCAAAACCTGACAAAAACCTCACTACAAAATGAAGCTAATCATAAGATAATGACCCATTTTACCATCAAACATTTACTTAAAAATAACATATGTTGGTGTATTCCCTAAAAAATTTCTAAAATATAAAATTACTACTCTGTTAAGCCCCAGACTCACAAGAAAGCTTCTGTAGCAAGCTGAAAGCTGCTTAAAATACTGCAGTGCTTTAAATTCTCCCTAGGCACAGTGGAAGACAATTTACAAAAGTCATTGTTTTCAATTCAGAGATGGCAATAAGCACATCCCCCATTGCTCCAAAGTTCCTATCTCATTTCTAATTAGATTTCACAAAGCTAGATCATAACAAAAAGCAAAACCTTTACATAGAGCAGTCTTTAAAAAAAAAAAAAACACAAAGGAAAGCTTTACAATTACTCTATGTTTGTTCACAAGCCTGCGGTATGGAGAGCAGCTTAGCAATTACTCCATTGAAGACTTAACATTACTTTTTTTTTTTTTTTCAACAAATAACTCATATCTGCCAAAAATGGAAAAGCAAGGACAACACAGCGCAAGAGGAAAGACTATTGTTGAAGTTACATAATTACATGAAGAAAGCAGGAAACAGTCAGGAAACATAGTTTCTCTATCTTACTACTTACTGTGATTGTTAGTTCTTTCCTCCCTCAGGGCTCCTGTTTCTGACTCCCTGCACGTATAAAACTGAGCTACTTATGAATGTATGCCCAATATTCCCTGTAGTAAGCTTTTAGGATTTTTCTCATTAAGGGACAATCTAATACGTTTCACTATGAACCACTGCTCTCCAATATCTAGTTTAAAAACAAACACCTTGAGGAGATGACATTATCCAAGTTGACAACTTTTTCATTACTATTTCTGCCCACAAAATTTCCATTATGCAGTTACTGTACCTTTTCTGTCCATAAGTTTGAGTTAACAAGTCCTTCTGCCTGCAGGAAATCTTGTACAATTAGTAAGAGCCGGAAAGCATTTTCAGAGTGTGTAGGGAGAGCTTTAGAATCTCTGTTATCAGTGACTGACCATTCTAACATCTTCTCCAATAAGCTGCATGTAAAACAAAATCCCGAAGTAATTACTACATGTTCCAGCTGTAAGAGGCTTTAAAAAAATCCTATTAAGTATTTAATTGAATCTCTCAGTCCACAGCGATAACTGCTGTATTCTCAATAAGACAGAGATGTAAAAGATTTTAAAGAGCACATGGAACTTGGAATACAGCTTTTCAAAACCTTAAAACCACATTACCTAATAGGTAGTAAAATATACTGATAGCACATGAAGATAGAGCTAAAAAAATTGTATCTTGAGGGTAAACATCCATTCCTTCTTAGCCTTACTGAAGCCCACTTATTTTTTCCCTTTTTCATCAAAAGAAGGATAGAACCTGCCCATGAACAGTACACTCACTTGAGTTTTATTTCATCAGAAGGTCGCAGCAACTCATTAGATATTCCCAGTTTAGTCAGTGCAGAAAACACCTGTCCTCTCTCTACCCAAGCCTCATCATCAGATCTTTCAATGCCTTTCCACATTATGCACAGCAGGATGTCTGTAAGTAACTGTATCAGTTCATTATCACCCCCCTGCAAAAGAAAAGGAACATTTACAGCCCTTCAACTCCTATAAATCTTCACAGTTTCTCCTTCATCATAGTCTCTCTATGCTTTCCACTTTTTTGTTTGAAAACTCTACAGCCTCAAGTCTAATAGGTAAATACACAAAATATGGGAAAAAGTGGCTTCCCAGAAACTGTAACATATATTGACTTCTACATCATTATTTAAACCTAACCCTTAACTGCCCTTTTGTTCTCCCCATTCCACCTTTGCCCAAGCAATTCTAACCAAAAAGAGACATAACCCAGAGATGTCCCCACTGACTGTAAGAACGTTATTGGCTATTTTCCTTCAGAAGATATAAGAATAAAAGGACAATGAGGACAATATATATTATATTATATTATATATATTATATGCCCATTAGGGATACAATTAGAAAGGAAAAAAATTGCAGTCATTAGGAGAAATTAACCACATAGGTAGAAAATTACTTACTCCTTGATTTTCAAATGAAGATAGATCAGCAGCACTGAAGCCCACAGCGCTTATGACATCTAGCTCCTTTTCAGGCTGCCCAGAAAATGGTTTTCTGTTCTCTATAGGTGATGGTGTGCTGGGCAGGCTATCTGTCATCTGATTCACAACGTCAGCTAGTTCATAAGAGTCAACGCTGGATAGATCTAGACTCAGGTGTGAAGGATTACTGCGCCACAAATCTTCTCGGTCCTCTGACTTGAAAGACATCTCTGCTGTGGATGCATCTTCCAGTGGCATAGCAGAGAAATGAGCTGGGACATCCAAGGATTTATTGTCTTCTAAACTCCACTGATCAAACAATCCATTTATAGATGCAAAGGTATCAACTTTATCTCCCTCCATCTTATCAGCATGATATTTCTGAAGTTCTTCAGCAGGAGGATTTTTCTCCTCTTCCCTTGAGGAGTCAGCCCTGTTTTCTCTAAAGCCAATCCGGACCTCAGAATTTTCTTTCAGGAAGAGTCTGATCAAAGTGTCCTGCCAGCCCAGCTGCTGAGAAATCTGTTGTGCTGCATCCAGTTGGGAATGCAAAAGATGCAAAACCTAAGGATAGAAGATAGTTCACACCTACACATTAATTTTAGCTTGAAACTAAATTCTATCATTCATTCTATCTTTTAAATTAGAAGATTTATGACCTTACAGCTTTCTTTACCTTTTTAGCAGCTTATAAAAAAGTCATATTGAATTAACAGAAAGCATATATATCACAAAAATCACTCAAAATTAGAAATGCATATAAGAGCAAAAAAAAAAAAAAAATCCCAGGAATACAACATGGGGGAAAAAAAAAAAACCAACTATCAATGTATATCAGTAAGTCCTCACTTTTCAGTCACTCTTCTACAGCAATTCCTAGAAAAGGCAATTATCAGAGCAAATAATCCCATTAACAAAATCATAGCACACGATATGCTTAATTAGAATCTATTAAACAGAAAAATTAAGAAAGCTAAAGTAAGCTACAATATTACTAGCTTATTGATAGCATACACTTAGCTTATTTTGAGAAACTTTGGTATAGAATATAGTTTCTTGGAACTACATTCAGTACTACCAATTCCAGTGACACAAGCCAGAGAGCTCATTTAAGAATTATTACTTTTTCCATCTCCTCTCTGCATCCTTAAATACTCTTCTGAACCATTACATGTTGTATTAAAAGTAACATTAAGAATGAAACAAAACCTTGAGCTTAAGCATCCTTTGAGAAAACTAATTCAAGTCAATACTTCTAAAACAACAAAAAAAAATATGCTAGTTGAGAATCACTGGAGAGACTTGGGGTTTCGTTTTTTAAAAGATTTAAATATATGAAGTTCAACATCAAGTTCCATATTAGCTTTTTTCCTAACATCCTAAATCATTACTAAAGGAAAGTAGCAACAGCAGCAGCCAGTGTAGCTAAAACATCTCAAATAAGACATCACACAATATAGTTTATGGATTTAACAGTATTCTATTTTTAAAGGTAACTAACCTTTCTACAGATAACCACTCTCATGTTTATATCTGATCTATGAGCCAGATGCACTACAGCTAAAAGATCTTTATAATTCACAGCAGGATCTGTGGAGAAGAAAAAAACAAATCAAACTATTCCGTGCAAGTGATGTAACAGTTAAGTGTTAAAAATAGCTTTGGAAGTCACTTCCACAACCAGGAATGGCAAAGGGAACATGCTTCAGGGAATTAAGAAAACAGCTGAGACTAGCATGGACTGCAAATAGAACAGATTCATAAAGTAACTTTTTCCTGAGCAAAAAGCAAGTGTATTTGCCTCTGAGCAAACAGGCATTTACTAACAGTAGACAACACTTCCCCATTACCTGCATGGAGAACTTGGTTAAGAAGGTTTTTTATGAGAGAAATAGTAACTGACGATTCATTCAGAAGGAGTCCAAGTCCAGAGTACCCCACTTCTCTGAGTCTCATACGGTGCTTACTACGTTCATAAACTTTAGTACATTTCAGCATCTCTTCCATAATCTGTGTGAAAAAGCACACAAAAGCAAAATAATGAGGAAGCATCTAGACTTCTTAAACTTAACTGCATACGACATAGCATACTAGTCCATAGTTTACAAAAAACCCTTTAATAAAAAATTCAGACTCAATTTTAAAGGTCCCAATACTTCTAATGCTTGACATTAGGAGAGCACTAACCCCATTGCAACTACAGTGATTAGCTACATGTTGTTGCTTGCATATTAGAAAAAATTAAGCTTGGATTACCAGCATCTTTGTAAGCATTTGCACTTCTGCAGTCTGACTACTGAAAAATACAAATCCATGCTTTGTTGATTAATTTATGAACATATCATTCATTTATTACCTTGAACACAAGTTCTCTAAGCCTGTCAGAGTACCTCTGGTGCAATAACAAAGCATAAAGAATATCAGCATTTCCTGGTTCAAAAAGCAATAAAAAAAGCTGATCTGGGGCTGAGCTGGAATGAAGAAGGCTGAACAGAACTTCCAGGATGCCACAGAGCTGAAAATTAAGACAACTGGGTTAATCTAGAATTCATGCAGACTTTATTCTCCATCCAGAAAAAAAAAAAATCCTTGCTCTTTAATTTCTATTCTCTCTTGCTATATAATGTACATTGTCTGTTCACTGTTATCACATTTAAGTGGATATTTTTGCTATATGCAGGACACTATCAAGCTGTAAATGGAACTACAAATCAAGTTCAAGCACTAATAATGCCTACGAAATAGGAATTCACATCACTACAAAAATGATCAAAGTCAATTCATTTTCTCTCATAACACACGAGAAAATAAGTAAAACTACAGCTACCAACAGAGCACTTTTGTAAGGATCCCCATGTAGCTGAGACAGGTTATATGTAGAAGCACACCCAATTAGAACCATAAATCAATCAACTCTTTGTGTGTTTTATCATACCTCCCTTTATACAAATAAGATTTCTAAACGGAACAATACAGAATATCCCAAGCTGGAAAGGACTCTTAAGGATCAAGTCTAACTCCTGAACTACAACCAAATCACATACAGTTTATACTAATTTACACCACACTGGATACCTGCTCTTCTTCAGTGGTAGCAGCTATGTATCCTACAATGCTCTGTATTTCTTCATGTGTTCCACCTTTGCTTAGAAAATATTTGATCAGTCCATAAAGGGATGTCTGTATAGTTCTCAAGTCATCAGGAGTTAAATCACTGTCTTTGCTGCCACTCCTAAACGCCAACAGACAAGAAAGGAATTCTAAGCAAGTGCTCCATAATTCAGTAATAACTGAGTTGCACTTCAAATACTACCAGGATATAAACGAACTAAGTGTCTTAAAATGATAAGCAAGTAAAATGGAAACAAGTTCATGTGTTTTTTGAAAATGAAATCAAGCAATAAAAGCCAGCCAGTTTTATTTCCTTTCTTACTAGAACAAGCAGGGGCAGAGGAGTAAAGAGGTGAACATGTGTAATATGATGGAAAATGCAGCAGTGACAACAGAGCAGCAAGGTTCCAGGCCACAGCAAATGAAGATTTGCTCAAATTGCAACAGCCATAGGCACAGAAATAAAGGAAAGAAGCTGCTTACATTCAGGAGACCTCAGGTATACAGGGATATCCAACAAGATACCCTTGTCTCCACTGCCAACCCTTGAATGGGATCCGGAAAGTGGTGGGATCCTGGCTCACCCCTTCTGGTCACTCAGGTGCATTGACTGCTTTATACACACCCAAGTTTCCCTGGGTTGGCCCTGCCTCCCCCCCAGGTGCTCACTGTTTCAAGCCATGACTTAGCATTTCCACTACAACTTAACAGAACAACTGCATACAACAAAGAAAAAGTTAGAAAAGGTAAAACTCATACCCATAATAAACTCTCAGCGTGTCTAGAAGAAACTGTACACCATACTTCTTTCTGAAGAGCCTTCTGCTGTCTTTGATGATCGTAGAAAGATACTGTATATGCCCTACAATATAAGGTCTCATATTAGAACCTAGAAAAATATTTATATCAAATGAGAAGTACTGTGTCTTTGTGCAGTTGCCCCATATCCAAGGACTTACCAATTCTGAAAGGGAAGTCCCCACTGTTCCAGATGCTGAAGTCAAAAAGTAAGTGTTGATACATCTGTTGCAGAAGTTGCAAGTTCTTTTCAACTGAGACTTGCTCTATCAACAGCTGTACAGCCATCAGTACATTCACATCCATTAGGATGCTTGGCACCTATCAAAATAACAGGTGTTAACACTCAAAATATGAAGTTTATTAGGATATTCTTTACTTTAAATAATATTTTTTTTTATTAAGATTCTCTTTTACAGCAAGCCTGCTTTTAAGTAATATAACAAACAAAACAAGAACATGAATTATTCAAAACATTTCACTTTGTATACCAAGGCCAGCTCTTTACACTTCTTTTCAGAAGCATAAGAAATGCACATATTAAGCAAACCTTTGAGGCAAACCTTGCATCCTAGACAAACTAAGAAGATGCCGAAGTAATTTGGAAATCATCTGCAACAATCATTTCTAAGGGTTGTTTCTCGAATTTATTCACCTTCTGTAACAAGGTTCCTAGGGTGGCAACTCCATGGGAGTGAACGAGATTTTCTTGATTAACATGGTGTCTCTGAATGAAGTGTTTAATCATCAAGATGAAAGTTGCAACAATGTTCTTCTCCAGGCGTGCCTCTGCAAAACAGAGCAGTACCAAAATCAGAATCAGTAAGACTCACGGTTTATCATTAGATAATTGTTTATCATAGGGAAAAAATAAAATCAAGTGTTTGCATTGAAAGCTACTCCCTGAACTTCCTTAACTCTTTCTGCATTTTTTTTTTCCTATCTGTAAGCTTTCTTCAGTGGCTTTTACTCCCCCTGTGCAGAATCAGTCTTTTCAAATTTCTCCAGGAGAAAGTGACAACCTGATCCTTGCTTCATGTTTAAGGCTGTTACACAGAGACTTCCCTCCTTTTAGTCACAGTTTCTTGTATATGCTGCATCAGACATTCTCCTTCAGCAGTAACTAGACATAATATGCAAAAATTAATGATAATGAGTGAGGAAACATATTTATTCAACCATTTCAAATTCAAAACAAATGAAAATGGTTCCCTTGCAAGATCTGTTTTCCTCTTGTTTTCTGCTAAGACAAAAATTAATTCCCAACTTATACTAGTACAGTTCGGTGGTAATTAGATGTTTTTGTTGTTTTTTTTTTTTCCCCTCCCTAGTTGTTCTTAAAGCTTCCTTTTAATTATATTGATTTGTTCATGTGAAAGGAGTAGGAGTCTGAACATTTTCCAAAGAAAATGAAAGCGTGACAGAATCTACACAGCACTGATCTGATATTCCATGATCTTTATTTGGCTGTCTGACCCAACATCCATGCTGTTGAAAACCTCCTCCTATTGATATTAGCAGGTTTTGAATAAAGAAAGCAATTTCTCAAAATAATCACAACAAGCTTTTCAAAAGAAGTAGAAATAATTGCATGTTTTGACACTAATACAATAGGAAACCATTAAGAGAAAAAACAATGCTAAATGCATTTATATTTCAAATAGATCATCAGGCTCATTTTACATTGTGCTGAATAGTTGTTATGCAGCACCCCATCAAATGTCTAGAAAAAGCAACAGCCTGTCAAGCTTGAGTGCTGCTTTGGAAAAGCCAACAAGTATAAGAATCACTTCTATTCACATAAAGATGTTTAATTAAAACCAAACTTTAAAAGTTCATCTCAGTTGTACTTTGATACCTACCTGATGCCTTTGTGGATGACAATACCACCCAGTCTCCCTCTACAGGAGTAACTACTTCAGGAGGTGGAGTTTCCCCTACAGACTTCTCAGGCATCTGTCTACCAAGAAAACTGATCTGCTCCAGCAACGGAAACAGCACATTTATTCCACCAATGCAGTTGATCATATCCTAAAATTAAGAGAAATGGAAGGAAAGCAACCGTAAATAAAATTCTCTAAATTATGCCACAGAAATTCACATTAGATAAGGAACTTTATACACTCACAAATCAATAAAGTTGTTTTATGCCTGTTTAAAACTGGTTTAAAACACTGAGTTTAAACAGAGTATTGCCCAGATTTTAGGCACTGCAACTACACGACTTCCTGTCAGCTGTGTTTTTACACTTCATTCCACCCTCCTCAAAATAAACATGGGAACCTGAAGATTATAAATATCAGAAAGAATTTTCTATTAAGCATTTTGGAAAAACAGAGTAAAAACATTCATGACATCAAAGTTACTTGCAGTAACTAAATACTACATACATGTTTTAATCCTGTTCCTGTAAGATCTCTACTTCAAGTAGTTAGAAAATGATAAGATTATTTTTTTTCCAAATAATTTTATGTATACTTCAGTTTTTATCTCCACCCTTTTTCAAATTCAAGACTAAAAATACACTTAATTTCCACTCCTCACAGATAACAATAATCAGCAAACTAGTCAGAGATGCTTGTTCACCTGCCCACCTTAGCCCAAGGAAAACCACTGCATACTAAAATTCTTAGAATCCAAAGTAAAACAATACCCGTAAGCCAATCACAGAACATCAGTTTTCCTTCCCACAAACACTGGGGAGAAGTAGAGGAACCCTTTTTTGCCTCCATCACATTCCACTTTTTAAATTGTTACACTGTTTACATGCCCATATGATACCCCTGTCTCTGTTTAGATTTGCCTCAATAAACATGGGATATTTAAAGAAAATTGAACAGTTAAGCTAAGAGTTTTTTTAAATCTGTAAGATTTATCTCATGGATGAAGATTTCCATATTAGCCAGGCAAAACAATAAGCATCACACTTTTGAAAGTTGAAAAAAATTGAATTTCTACAAACCACAAGATAGCAGTAACTGTAGCTCCTTTCAAGCTGTCTCATCTCTTTAACGACTTGATCAGCTTTGTGTTTTATCCCTCACTCTAGTCCTCAAGAGAGTGCCAATCCCCACTGTTTGTTAATGAACTAATTATCCTCCTGAGATTTGTACCTTCAATATACTTTCCCATACAGCTAGAGATATAAGCCATCCTCACCCACCTCTCTTCTACCTACTGGATAAAGACAACAAATTTTAGTATTTTCTAACTATTCACATCACAGCAAAATTAACTAGCAAACATTTCCATTTTCTTAACATTAATCTCCTTAAGTCAGAGCATATGCACAGTGTAGCCCAAACAATATTTCCTTACTAATTAGTTTGCTCATTGAGTTGATTGCATACTATTCGTAAGAAATTGGAAAATGATTTTAAACAAGAAAAATTTAAAATTCCATTTATTTGTTCACATGCTTGTCTTCAAAACAAAACAAGAAATTGTCCATAGGATACATGCTCTGCCCTCAATCTTTGTTTCTGTTTCTGTTTTGTTTTTTTTTCTGCTTAAAGAGCCCTGCAAGCAAAGGTCTATAGTATTAGTATTAGAATTAGTATTTTCTATCTGAACAGAAAAATCATTAATCACAATGTTTCTTGATCAAGCTGTCTAGCTGCAAATAAGCCATTTTCCTCAGGCGGTGTTAAGACTGACTTTTTATCTGTTAAATGTCATTGGCATTATGACAATAACTTCTAGCATTCCAAAACTTAGGTGAATGTAAGAAAACTGTCACATAAACAACAGCTTCTGCTTGTTCAGTAAGCACTTACCTTGATGTCCCAGTTCACTACTTTGTTTCCAGTTAGTCTTCCATGCAAGAGATTTGCAGACAGGTCAAGACAAATTGGATTTCTGCAGGCCTGAGAAGTAAGGAGGCTACAGTATCATTTAGGAAACAACAGATCCTTGAAAATGCAGAAAGCTTTGAAATAATGCATAATAGTTAGTGTCATCGTGTTGATAGGATGTTGTTTAAACAACTTGGGAACCCTAGAAAATTTATTCATCTTAGATTTGACTTCTACAAAATAATTTTGTCCTTTTGCTAAACAAGAATAACATCTATCGCCCTTCCCCAAAATTGTAGTCTAAGAAAGCTTTTGCTACCCTGCATCTTCCCATTACCATTGTGTAAAAAAAGCCAAAATGGTACACTTAATATGTTAATGTTAAATGTTCTTACATGTTAATGGTACATTAGTTTGTTCTAATTCTAAAAGAATTTTCTGAAAGAAAAAACCATTCAAGATAAGTTCTGAAATTACTTCACACTGCAAAAGCAACAGAAAAATCCGTATTGTTCCATACCTTTGGCGTGTAATGCAGCAACACCTTACTGGGGAGATCTGCTACTTCTGGCTCTTGAGATTTCCATGGAGTTAAACAGTTTGGACCTATAAATACATTGCTTTTAATTTTTAAGACTTCACTGGATATTTCACAAATTTTATACAACCATTCTTTGTTGTGGCAGGATACTCTGAACCATACCTATTTGAGATACGCTTTAAAGTAATATTATGAAGTTATTAATTCCATAGGGTTCTTATTAAAAGCAAATACATATTCTTGATAAAAAGCCAAACTATACAATATTTTGGACACTTGAACAGATACATTTCTTTACAGACATCTATACTTGCCACCAACCTATCAAAAAGCTCAAATGGCCAGACAGTAAGAAATATTCAAGTCAACTTTATCTAGCAACATAAAAATACTTCCTTTTAATGGTTGAAGTACTTGCTAATCTCTAACAATCCCATGTCATTATTGAACTTCACTTAATACTTCAGTAAAACAGATCAATAATTTATTTTTATTTTCAAATCACAGTTAATTGATTTCTCATGGAAAAATTCTGAAGTGTAAATCACCTCAGTGGGTTGTCAACAAGAGCAATACTTTAAAGACCTTCAATTGTAAGGTCAATTGTAGGCAAACAGTGAAAAAAAAGAAAAGTGAAGATATACTTAACATCCAGATTTTGGCAAGCCTGTACATAAATAAATAGATGAGCTTATGGAAACCTAATATTTTAACTTAAATAAAAATCCTTATCATTTATTTCTGAGCTTCTTATAGAGCCCCCTCACTTATGTTAGTTCTAAAATTATTTTGGACTGTAACTTGTCTGTCATATCATTACATGTCTGTGTACAGCAAAGCTGTAAGTGATGTTGTCCCTAACTCAACCATTTTGTTTCACTAAAAATTAGTATAATCATTACTTACCTGCCAAATACAATGCTTTCACCTGAGGGGGTTGCAGTGCTTCATGAAAAATGATAACTGAACCAAGCTGGCCCTCCAACGATGTTGGACATCCCCATTCACTATCCTGAGTCCCTGCTGAGATCATCTTGGTGATGAGTTCTGGTTTTGCAAGCATCCCACCCCAGCTTCCTGGAGAGAGAATGCCCCCAAGTGATGTACGGTGAGGCATGACAGGGGAAGAAAAAGGTGGATCTGGTATCTGAGATGGAGGAGGAGTTGTTGTTCTTTGACCAGCTGAACCAATGCAGCAAGAAGTAAAAGGCTGTAGAAGCAAGAATAGAAGAAAAAACAAAACACACACTGAGTTTAAGTCTACGTTCCTTTTCCACCTCTGCTTCACCTATTTTACAAAGCAAATCTGAAGACTATCTCTGTCGAATCTGAACTAAATAAATTAAACCAAGAACAGCAAGTACTGGCACACTCTGGAGAATCCAAAAGAAAAGAACACATACTTCTCACAACAGCAGAGTGCTCCTAATTCAGTTGAAAACAATTTGGTCATTTCAACTATTGTGTGACAAAAAAGGCTGCCAGGAACAGAGCCTGGACAGTACTCTGGTAAGATACTCTAGTAAACATTCCTCTTCTGGATTGTATTTGAAAATACCAGCCTGTTATGCCTGCTATATGTATCAATTATTTACCACTTGAACAAAAGCCCTCAGAGGAAGATTACCAACCCCACATATAGATATCTTCTCTATTGTGCTTATTTTACAAGTAGGCCAAAACCCAGAGTTCTATCTTGCAACATACTTCTTGAAGTGTTATACTGATTTCACTATTACAGTGTTTAATTTAAATGCTTACTAAAACTACTCAAAATACTTACATATTAAATTAGGACTTGAACAGGGGAAGAATGGTAAGTATTATAGCCCAGGTTAGAAAGGATTCATCCCACACAAAGAACTTAAGATGCCAGGTTCTCATTTTGTTGCTAGTGTTCATGCTTATCCAAGCATGATATAAGATGGTAACAGGTATCAGATTAGCATGTGTTATGGGAACACATAGAAAATATTAATAAAATGAATGGCCACTGAAAACAAGATGGAATATTTCTCACTGGGGCTGTCACACTACTTGCAGAGCTGACTAATCAGAAATTCTATCATAGGGCTCTGGTCCTGAAAAACCCCACTATTTAACCAAGCTGATATTTTTCCCAGTTTGTTTTTAAAACTAAGATGACTAAACAAACATTAATTAATGGTTAGTTCTACTTTTTCTCCACTATGATACCTTGGACACTATCTAGTCTTGAACCAACTTAGTAACAATGCTCTAAACTACCTTTAACTCTTACTGAGTTTCCAAGCATAAAAAAAGTCAACTATGTTCTCATTCTTCTATGAAGTTCATCAGGACAGGTGTATGACACAGAAGGTGAACTTACTTCATTCATGGCAGGGAATCGAAGTGGGGCAGAGATCTTCTGCTGTCCATTGACATAGATGTACACAATGCTCTGACCAAAGGGTCTCTTTCCAGGCATGTGAACAATAGTTATGTTGTGCTGATTAATAAATTCATAAAGTTATTAAAAAGCAGTGAAATGATAATACACAACCATTTAACCTCACCTTCACTAATTTGATGAAGAAATCATTAACGAAAATCCTTAGGAAAATAAATCCAAAGTAGCTGGTCTGACCTTGTTGATATCAGCTCTTCTTTTAAGCATTTTACTTTTAAACTTTTTTTTTTTTTTTTTTTTTTTTTTAAGAAAAGAGGTTATAGGTTCTTACAAGACCATGCACATCAGTCCTTAGAATAGAATAAGTTACGGCAGAAACAGTAGTATGCACACAACACTACAGCTGTTTGTTTGAATACAAAAAAGATCCATATATTAAAAAACTCCCATATAAAACACACATTTAAAAAACACTATAACCAGCTTATGAATAAGAACAGCTAAAACAACAGGCATAATTTATCTTAAATACTAATTTATGTAAAAAGCACTTGTATTATCTGAGTTCAGATTTGTTCTTACACAGTTAAGTATAATAAAATAGATCACTTATAAAATAGCAATCAAACTTGCTACTTCTGAGCTAACACTACTATGCTAAACAGTGCTTTTCAGCATCACATCTTACCCAGAGTGAGTCAAAAAAACAGTGGTCAGGCAGCATCACTGTCGCATATTCCCTCTTTGTGCAAACTGCTACCACCAATACACCAGAGCATGTGATAAAGGCTTCAAAACCCATACCGCTTCCTGTAAAAAAGCTATAGAATGACAAAACAAACAAACTAAGGACTTGCTTCACCATACATACTGTAAGTCACATAACAGTATTTTCACTGAGGAGAGAAACAACTTGAGCTTTTTGTTGCTGTTCACATCATTATCTGCCTAGCTATTACTTCTGTTCAAAAGAACAAGACAAATCTCACAAGAAAGGAACCCCCAGGACAGCTAGGACAAAGGCATCCCCCACATCTCTCGAAGAAGCTTGTAGCTATCCAACTACTGACTGTTGCAGTCTGAGAGCCACAAGGTTCTACTAAAGAAGATATTAAAAGGCCTGCAAACAGTGGTGTTTGCTGTTAATTGTGTCCATCAGCCCCATTAAAGCTGCTAATAATGCATGCAGCTAGGTGAGATTGCTGGCATAGCTAGTAGATGTGTTCTCTTAATTTAATAGTTCTACATCATACCACTGCATATGAAGGTTTTTATTTTAAAGATCAAGACACTAAATGGAATAATTCAGAAATTCAGAATGCTTGTACGTATAATATTACAGCCAAATCTGGTTTAAAACTGATGAGACAGTAAGTGTAGATTTAAAAATATTTTTAAATCTGTGATTACCTATAAGCAAGAATTTTAATGCAAAATATAAACATAGTCATGGTTAAATAGCTTATTTCACTCTATCATGAAGATCAGCTGTAAGCAGCTATCTATAAATAAACCCTGCACGAACAGGCTTGCCTTGAGAAACCTGGCATTCTTTTTAAGATAATACAGAATATAGAAAACTATATATAAACTGTGAAGTATTATCAAAGCCTGCTATAATCCCTTGGGTACTGTGACTCCAAGTGGAGGCATTAACTACTGTATTATCAAATATTTATTGGTATAAAACACAAATGTGACACTGATGTTATAGTGGGGAAAGTGATGCACACTGCCTTTTGGGATAGGAAAGGGGGTGATCATTCTGGATTTCTTGGAACCCAGACAAACCTTCCCCACTAATTGCCATGCTGCAACAATGACTAAGCTGAATGCTGGAACCTCCAGAGTCAAGCCAGAGAAGAGGACAATTTTTCCTCTTGCAACACAATAACACCAGACCCCATATGAGTTGGAAGAACATAGAGCACATTGCCTGTCTTGGCTGCACTGTCCCACCACACCCACCATACCGTCCAGATTTGGCACCTTCTGGCTTCCATCTGTTCACACCAGTAAAAGATGAATCGGGTGTGCAACATTTTTCTATCATCATCACAGCTGTGAAACAGTAGACCATCTCAATTGGTGCAGATTTTTATGAGAATGAACATCACTGGTGAAAATGCATAGCTAATTGTGGTGACTATGTAGAAAAAGTGTTTTGCAGCTAAGAATTTGCTCTATTGCCTTTTTAAAGTTTGTGGCGCAATTCCACCACAGATTGTTCTGTTTTGAGGTGTTTTGCTTTTTCTGGTTGTTGTTTTTAAGCTATATACCTTAACAATTCAGAGTTGTGGATAATGAAACTGCAAACAAGAAACTGTAGAGGAAGCAGTGTAATTGAGAAGCTACGTGCTTATTTCTGTAACACAGCCTGGCTTTGAAGACAGATGAAGCTTCTCCCTTCCACAAAATAAACAAATCAAGTGCTTTATATTGCATTCTATGAAGGAACAGGTACCACACAGACTAGGAGGTACCACATACCACATTCCACAAGGAACAGACAACCTAGATTTGTGCTGTTGAAGTCATTATGGTAATCGTACCTATACAGTTGCTTCCGCTTGCCAGTTTTGCTAGCTGTGCTAGGGTCCACCTGGTCTTGATCAAGGCAGAGCCAAGCATTGAAAGAAAATGCAGAGCCTGGCCACCTCTGAATTGATGGAACAGCAATTCCCGCCATGCTGTGACACAAGTTGAAATACTGCAAGGCACTAGCCATGCCTTGTTTCCGAGCCATTGCCAGAATGGCTCGCATCACTGGAATAACATAAGGGTGAGCCTGTTTTGGCTCCTCGGTTCTAAGGAGCCGTATTAGTTGAAGCAGTTCTTCTGACCCCATTGACTGGCTCCCTAAAGAGCCCAGAAGGGCAATCAGGTTCTCTGCACAAGTGCAATGGAGTGCAGAGTGGTGATTTAGTGTCTCAATGATACGGATGACCATGTCTGCATTGACACACGTGGCACGACTCTGCCTGTTAATACAGCAGATCCGCCTCAACCAATTTGAAATGAAAATCTGCAGGTCATGTGACTCAAGCTCTGGAAGCCATTGGATAAGCAGCAATAATGGCTGGACATTACTAATGCCTAATATCCCAACAGCCATGTGGTCACCTTCAACAGCCTGGAAAACAAAGAAATCAAACATGAAATACAGTCAAGAAGAGATACTGCTGAAGAGACACAGCATTCCAGACAGCATTCACAGTATATCTCACCATATTCATGAGTTCTTCCAGCAGTTCCCGTGAGGGCTGACCCAGTGACTTAAGTACCTCGTAGATATGTGCATAACCGATTCTCTCCTTGAAGACCTCCTGAGGATAAAAATCCAGTCTCACTAACAAATGAAATAGACACAAACAGCTCATCTACTGCAACGAAGTTTACTTGAAAACAATATTAGACTTAAGGATTAGAATGTAAGAATTGCTTTTTTTTTTGGTTCAGCACAGTGGACATACTATGAAAGGATTTCTATCTCTAGCATGCTGTAAATAAGAAAGAACTCACTGCAGCATGCAGATAAACAAATGTAAGACCAAAGAAGTAATTACAAAAAGTATTTCTTTGGTATACTCAAATGTTAAATCTATCGCAAGTTATTAATAACTTTATTTTTAATGCCAACTGAAGCTTGAAATAAAGTTATTATTTTGAGAATTAAGAATCTAGATACTGACTTTTGAATGAAAGATTTTCTAGACCAGCTTGATTAGAAATCAGTCATTTTAAATAATTCAAAAAATCAGATAAGTGTTCCAGTAACGATTTTCTGAAAATTGATTGATTTTACACGAAGAAAAGCGACACGAGCCACAAAGCCTAGAACATACTACATAGCATCTGTTTACTGTTTGGTTAGTGAATATCCAACGCATCACAAAACAAATACTATCCTCCCAGCGGTACTCTGCACTGAAATTAGAACAGATGGATGAGTCTGCCAGTAGAAGTGAAAATTACTTAAGTAAACAGGGGAAAAAATTACACACTGTAGTGGAAGTATAGCTGAAAATTTTACTGGCACTTTGTGGATTACAGTCAATCCTCCATTCTGTCACACAACATTTCCCCAGGCTTCCAAGTGTCAGTGGAGATGCAAGTACTCCGATACATGCTCTGGAGGAGCCTGATTTACTACTTTGTCATTTCTAACTGAGAATGTACTACAAGCAGCAACTGAATCAAGCTACTTTCACTCTGTGACCTGCAGTGTGCCAGGAGTCATTCAAACATGGGATTAATCTAATGAACTCAGCAATCTAAAAATAAATCTACTACTCTTCCATGGCTTTATATTTCAGTCAGATTCACAAACTAGCCATTGCTTGTTAATTTATCAAGCCACAGGAATAATCACAAAGGAAAGGCAGGGGAAAGGCAAGATTGCCATTTAGACAGCAATATGATCCTGGATTACAGACATAATAAAAAACTAACTCCTTCCTGAAGCTGTATTTTGAAAAATTTGTTAATTCTACTCCAAATATTCATGGTAAGTAATTATGTAATCTCCTTAAAAAGGTTCCAGTTACCATTTGCACTCCAGTTTTCCAGTTCTCATACAAAGATGTCTATTTGTTTCTAATGGCTGAAACAGAGGATACTCAGTCCATTGCTCCTATCTGACAGGAATTAGTGATCACAAGCTGCTCAACTTAATTACTAAAATTCCAAGGATTTTGAAAAAAAAAAAAAAAAGAAAAAAAGAAGCTAGACAAAATTAAGAAGCCTATCACAAGAAGATAGCTGCATGCATAGTTACCTTAGCAGCTGGAGACTTGTGCATTACTGCTGTGAGAGCCTGAATGGTTGATACTGCCAAGCAGTCTAGACGTCCCTGAAATACCTGAAAGCAGCAAGTACAGTGGTTACATACAAATGCATAAAGGCAATTCTGCTCCAAAACTGTACTGTGCCCTCCTGCCAGGATGAAAATGGAGTTTACTAGCATGCTTCAAAAATCATCTCCACCAATAATGATTTCAAAGTACCCCATAGCCTACAAGAAAGATTACATTAACAATAGACAACACTTCAAGAGAAGGAGAGAAGCCTTCACAAAACTCATTTCACTTCAAATGCTCTGATGGACAAACACGTTTTCCTCATGCGGCTAATGGACAACCTCAAGAGGGAGGAAGGAAAACAAATTAAGATATCTCTTGTATTGTGTGCGTGTGTGCTGCTAAACAATCAGGCATCTGCAGTACATATAGAGTATTTTCTTTTCCATAAGTCCCTACACAATGCAACACACTAATTGTAAGAGATTACTCACATCAGCACAGTAAAGTGGCTTTCTCACCCGTATTCTTATCTCAATCATCAACTTTCCAATTTCATATTAACTTTTGGGTTGGTTTTTTTTTTTTTCCTCCATTAATTTCTGTTTATAGTAATATTTCTATCATGGTCTTAAGGACAAAAACAAGCAGTATTTCAGGTCCATCAGTAAACCTAATGAGCAAGACTGTACAAACAGTTCCACCACCCCTGAAATAATATTCTAAATATCAGACATTTTGAAAATGAAATGTCAAGAATCAGAAGACTGTTAGACGTGAAGAAATGTTTACATGCAGTTAATGTTGCACTGAGTTTCTAAAAAAGCCAAAGCCATTTGTTAGAATCACAATTTGTAGATTACCATACCTTGTACTTAGCACCTTTACATTTTTAATCAGAACAAATCATTCTACCACAAAATCAATACAACTTGCATGTGATACTTTCCACAACATTACGTCAAAATTAAAGCAACAGGCTATTCCTACCTCCCTGATTCAGCCTGTCCATTGATTTGTGAACATCTGCTCTTGATGACAAGCAAAGAATCAGGACATCAAATACAACCATTGAGATTCACAAACAAGGCCCCAGAATCCAAAACACCACAGTGCTGAGACAAAGAAGCAAAAAAAAAAAAAAAAAAAGAAGGAAAGGAAAGGAAAAAAAATCACCACCAGGTTAATAGAATTATTTGGATTCCATTCATGTACTTCACCTTTTCCTTAAAAGATACAAAACTGAGGCTCAACCTACTGAAATATTTGCAACTTGAAGTAGATTAATAAAAGCAAAGTTGAATTCAGTCTGTTAATTGGGAAATAACTTTCCACAGATGGAAAATACTAATGTCTGCAGAAACAAGATCATCTTGCCACAGAAGACTTAAAAAGGATCATTAAGGTGAAGCACAGGAATCAGTTTTCCTGTCATTGTGTTTTGACCTCAATTGAAGCAAAGTACAGATTAGGTAGATACCTGGTCCTCATTCATTTCTGTCAGTAATTTGTTGGCAAGGTCTTTTTCACTCTTGTCTGCCACTTTATTGTTAGCATTTAAAAACAGCTGTTAGAAACAGAGACAAGAATAATGGAAATAATTGCATTACATAATTATCCTCCCATCATACCTGTGGAGGCTGCCTCAGGATTTGTGTCTAACATACAAGAAACGAGTTCTCACATTGGTGAGACACATTCCCCCGCTAACATTAGTTGTCTGTTAGTTCTTAGAATATTGAAGATTACAGTTTTGCTAAGCAGTAATTGCATTTTTTGTCCACAATTAGATGAAAACATGTCACTACTAAGAAAACAGAACTACATGGATGTTATACTGCTTACCAGCTTAGCAACAATGAGTTTATTTACCATGTGCAATACAACAAAAATTCACTTTAAAGAAATAAAAACAACAGTGGACCACTAGCAAAGAAATGGATACAGATGCCTCAAGGCTGTCCATTTATGTCTTATCCTATGTAACGGCTGAAGATATGTAGTCAAAATATTTAAATCAAGCAGCAACAGCAGTAGAATATCTTGATCACATAAGCCTTCAGAACAGAAGAAAAGCAAAACTACGTCTGGTAACACTCTAACAATCTGTCAGGCTGTAAATAAAACATATGCCTACATTTTCAGCTAAGAAACTTATCCCTAGTCTGTACCTGAATTTGCAACATTGAAGTTGACTCCAGTACCTTCATAATCCACTGTACTCACTTTGTGAGTATAGGTCAGCCACAATCTAATCATGACCACAGCTTTTCTTATATACTTTTATATACTATACGTTTATATACTCCAAAGTGCTGTTAAAAATCCCCTATCAAAAATGTTTTAAAGGTACCTAAGAAGCACAAAACCAAACAAAAAACCCCAACACTTTCTATCAGTGGGCAAGAATGAAACATTAACCATTTCTTCTTCATGCATTTTCTCCTAGTACCTTACTTAGGTATTCCTTCTGAAGATGAGTAAACACTATGAATCAGCTTTCACAAGATAGAAGAAAATACTCAAAATATTATTTAGACTTACACAAGTGTAAGCCTACACAGAAACACAAGTCAGTCTGAAGTACATCACAGTCAAGAGTACACATCACAGAATTATGACAACATCTCAGAGGCTTATAGCATTAGCAAGTGAAAATAAGAACAAAAGCAAAGGCAGACATAGAAAAAACAAATTTTTCTGATTTGTTAATTCAGCTCTATCAATGCAAGTGAAAATTCTTCTATTTAAAGCCGTTCAGACAATAACCATGTGCTTTTAACCAGACACACTGCTAGAGATGATTGCACTTTGCTCAAAGTCTGATCCCTAGATTCTTAACAGTATGTAGAAGCAGCTACTTGAAAACTTAGGACAGACTGAGCCTCTTTTGGTATCTCTGAAGTTTAGTCCCTTACTTGAATATCACAAGGCAAAAGGCAACATTTAGATCAACAGAACTTAACTGAACAGTTTCAAAAAGCTCTTGTGCAGATCCATAATCCTAGAGCATAGTTAAGTGAAGACAATTTTGTCCATAAGGCTTAAAACCAACAGTTGCCAAAAAAACCTATATTTTAGAAGATTGCTGGACAGCAGATGACTTCAAAGGTGACTAGAACTATGGGTTTGAATATCTCAAGATACCTATAGCAAAAATTGTGGTAGGGATTTTCTTTAACCCCTCTTTTCCATGAAAATTTCTCTCTTCAAATTTGCTGAAGATCCGAGAAATTCCTGACTTTCATATTGTCTGTACTCTCCTTTTCACCTGATACAGAGCTGCAGAAATGTGCTTCATGTAGCCCTGCCAGTGAATCCAGCAGCAAAATTTTCATAGGTAAGAAAAAAATATGACCAGAAACAGGATCATCTTCCTACATTAACAAGAATAAATCCTACTTCCACTGCTAAATTCATCTTTGCTATTTCAAAAAACAAGTATAAAGATGCACTGAAAAATATAACTTTATCCCCCCTCCGTTCTTTATCATTCTTGGGGCTATTTCCGCTACAAAGGTTAAAAAAATGCCATGTAGCAATCTGGAAGTACTGAGACTCAATTGATCACAGTAGTATGCAAGGCTATCAGAGGGAAAAACGTTCCAACAGTACATTTTATGACAGACAAGAAGGCAGACTAAAAATGAAGAGAACAAGCAGCAAAAAAAAAAAAAAAAAAATCAAAGCAGGCAAAACCTAATAGAGTAGCTGTTCCTGCTTTCCAAAGTTCTAATTCCCACTTGTTCAAATGAGAACAGGAACAAAGACAGATTCTACAGTAAGTAAATATCATAATGCTTAATAACCAAAGAAGAAATTAGGAGCTAAGTTTCTTACAGAGTACGAGGTCAGTACAGAAATAGGCGCAGATGTCCAAGCAGAATAATGGAAAAGTGAAATAAAGTATTTTCAGGAGAAGACTGGAGATAAAAAACAACCCACTGACATTATTCAAAGCATTTCAAGGAAACTGGCATTCTGCCACTAATTATAACAACTAAATCCCAATCCAAGGACATTTTTCATATATTGCTGCAATGAAATCCCAATCCCAAATACATATATTCAAAATATATAAATTTTGCAATCCCAAATAAAAATTGATAATTGATAAATCAAATTGTATTCCGTAGATTACAATATCTAGTATTAGAAGAGCTCAAAATAGCAATGCCACTAACATATCAGAAAAATAGAATGAAAATATTCCAGAGTTGCATTGTATTTGCATTGTATCTGTGGTCTTTTGCAGAGGTTGAGAAAAATGTACGAAGGAATCAATGAAAGACATTGGTAGCAAATTATGAAGTTCTATCTGGGATTGAGACAAAAAAAGATTCGTCTAAATGCTAGATCCTATGGGAAAAGAGAACAAAAATTTTGTTATAGAAGTGAAGATAAAATAAAATTTACCTTGCAGTTCTGCAACAGTCGAATGAGATGCTCAAAGCAGTTACTGTTGAGGAAAATTGCCTGTAGAACAGGCCTGTCTGTGCAGTCTAACATGGCTGTGATTGTATCTACAAAATTAAAATGGAACTGACATTAAAATCAAAGCACTTGCCAAATCCATTAAGCTCGTTTTCCCATATTACACCTGTAAGAGGATTAGAAAAGGTATATAATAAACATGGGAATCAAAAATACATATTTTAAAATAAACTATACATCATGAGAATTCTGACGTGTTTGACACAGAGTACTAAGCCCAATACTCAACAGTTTGACACTGAAAACTGTCAGGTAACCTACTATACGTAGCTATTCTACTATACTACACAATACCTTTGATAGCTTTCAGATTCTGCTTGAAGTCTCTGTCATTGAGTACCTAACCTCCATGCCATCTATTAGAAGCACACAAACACTAGTTGCTTCAAAAATTTTCTCTGCATTATACAGATGCCTTTTACTGTAAGTGATCACCACCTCAAAGCTACTCGTGTTTCCTTGGAAGTCCAGGGTAAGAAAATACTTGCATTTATATCTGCCATTCCAAACAAAGTAAAAAAAAAACATTCACAAATCCTAAATGTTTATCTAACAACTCAGCACCAACACTTTAAGGACCAACATCTTTGCCAATGTTTGCAGTAATTCCATCTGAAAAGCAAACTACCACAAAACAGCCATCACAAGGATATTTTATTAGAAATCCTCCTCACTCTGCAGTTAAGGTGCTGTCATTGTTGCCTAGCAATTTTCTTTTTTTTTTTTTTAAATAGAGACTGGTAGTCCATTAACCTTGATACTCTGGTTAACTATGAATATGAAATAGAATATATTTAAAGAAGTGTCAATGAGAAAAAACATTTGAAGGTTTTCCACTATATAAATAAGTGAACATTTGTACAACTTTCAGTTATATTAATACAACAATTCAATCATTATTTGTTTCGAAGCTATTATCCACAGACATTTAAAGAACTGCACAATTGAGTACTTACTCAACATTTGGATCTGTAGTGCTATGAACCTGCTCTCCCACTGCCTACATCGCCTTGGTTTAGGTAAAGCTGAATGGTCTGAATTAAGCAACTTGAAATAGTTCTCCAGTATTGTACTGGTCTCCACCTGACGCTGGTCAGAACTGCTGTTAAGGAGAATGTGGACAACTTCTGTCAGGCACTTCAGAGTAAGCTCTGCCTTTCTGCTCACTTCCTCAGGGCTCCCATCATCCCAGTTATCACAGTCTGCTAAAATACGCATCAAGACTTCCATGGTAGCAGGAGATACTGCTTGCAGAGCGTTTCTCTGAAACACATGGACAAAAAGAATTAAGGGGAATAAAAACGTAACTCAGACAGAATTGCTGATTTGAAGATACCTGAATCCTGCAACATTCACTATTGCTTCCATTTTAATTTATATACTGTACTTGTTAAACATCCTACTTGGATTATTGGCTATAGATGAAATGCAGCCTACCTTGTGCACTTAATTAGGCTTTCTTTTTCAAACAATATTTATAGGGTAAAGGAAAGCTCATTTAAATTGACATTACAATATTCTTATCAAGTACCATTGAGATAACATATTAATTCTAAATAAACCTTAATTCAAAGTTTCATTTTAGGTCCCCACTTTCATAGACTCAATACTTTAAAACAAATATTTATCTGGGTCCTGAATGCCTACCCCTCAACTTGCTTCCTGGAATCTGACTGGATAGGCCTCAGGGTCACACTACATCTAGAGCAGGAGCACAGCCTCATAAAGCACAGCAAGAAGTCTTGTCAGGATCTCCCCACCTTGTCTAGGGATCTTGCATTCAAGCCATGGCTCCCAAAATTTTACCTGCCTCAACAGTGTAGTTTAACAGCCATGCCCCTGCCAGGCCATGTACCCCCTTGTTTCTGACCCACTGTTCAACTTCGTGACTTCAGACCTGCTTCGTCACTATGGATAGGTCTGGGACCAGAAGTAACATTTACTAAGCAGAACATTACAGAAGTCAGCCGATGAGAGCATACACTGGCTTTGTTGATGATTAACTTTTTTTTTTTTTTTCAGATATCCTCTTTTCTTCATGTTATTTTAAAGGTCTTATGGACCTTCCAAACTTCGAAGCCCTTGTATTCCCTTCTGAAACACACTGGGAAGCTGGATGTCATGTAATTATATGAAATCTAAAAAATTATATAAAAAAACTTTGCAGGTGGAAGCAGTTTAGTTACTTTTCTATGTATGTGAAGACATTATACTTAGTTCATAAGAATGTGTAGTTACTGTAAAAAGCAGCTTTCTGTTGCTTTGTGAAAACAGAACCTAGCTTGTAGTATTTAGATACTGCACAGAACAGCTCTAAACTTCACAAGATAAATGACTAATACGTAGTAAATAAATTCTCCTTGATTATGGGTTATTTATAAGCTTTGAGTAATGAAGATCATGTTGGAGACTTCAGCAGCTGGGAAGAATTTAAAACATTCTTACCTGACCACCAACCACAATAGCTCCAAAGAGATGTAACAGGCAACATTTCAGGCTTTCCTTGAGATGTTCACTTTCTTGGAAACATTCTGATTGGAGTAAATAAAAAGTAGTAGGATTCCTTATTTTATAATATAAATTATACAAGCCTTTTCTCTCAAACAAAAATAAAAAAGCAGGTAAATAAAACAAGCATCCTTGCTGCTTGCTATCATGCAAGCTTAATACAAAATTTCAACTCTAAAATCTCCACTTTCTTTTATGTAAGTCACATACATTAACACATCCATTTCAGAGTTATCAAAGAAACATGACAACCCTGCATTTATCAGGAAGACTGACAGACCCAAAGAGGTACAGCAAATGTACTGTGGAATAAATGGGATTAATTTTCATTAGATTGTTCAGAACATGCTAACACAAGCAGTTAGCAGGTATGGGAAATGTTAGAAGACTTTTGACACAGAGACAAATGCCATACACAGAGCAGGTGCCTTAGAAAAGCAGAACTTGCTCCCTATGAACCAAACTTCCCAAAGAAGCCTGTAGTGGCCTGTCATCTTTCTAACAATAAAAAAAAATATCTTCAAAGATATCTCATAGAATATCTGATATATGGAACTCTTAGGAATACAGCCTAGATATTGTTGCTATAGCAATATCACTAGAATCAAAGCAGCTGCAACTGAAACCACAAAAGGAGTATTTTTTTTTTTTATTTAGCCACTGTAATTCCATTCAAATATAAGATAAAACTGCTAGAGACTGAGATTTTAAACATTAGAAATTGAAAATGGAAAAATTCTGTATTTGTTAAAATAATAAGTGTTACCTTTCGGACAGTTACCAGTTATTGGCAAGTTGTATTTCCGACTGCATACTGGAGCTCGTTTCAAAAGAAAACTGCACCACTATTTTTAAAACCTGGTGTACAAATTAAACAAAGCCTGCCATTTCCCTGACTTAGAGCCTCTGAATCTTTTGTGGAACTTAAGACAAATTCAATAGAGTAGTACCTGGCTGACTGTGGAAAAATTATGAGGCAGAGTAGACAAAAAGTCTTTAGTACTCCTGTGGAAAGTACGCCCTTAGCACACGCTCAGCAATTTCTTGTATTGCCAGACGGCCAATCAGCAGATGAGCACCTGCCAGCTAATTAGCACACTGGTAGGATTGTCTCACTACAAAACAAGGGATTTAGGAGAAAACAGTACAGTGAACTAAATAGAGAGGAGAGATCCTGAAGATGACAATGCTAAAGAGCAGACTTTAGAGTCAGCTTCCAGTTCTCTAGCACAAAGACAAAGGCATTTGACATTTTACTGACCTCTTTGCCAATAGTTAATGCTAAGAACACAAATTCCCAAGTAGCAGTTAAGACACAGTTTAACCAAAGACAAAAGAGTAGTTCCCTAAACTGCAGTCTAAGCTGACTTTGCTATTTGGATGGCAGCAAGTTTCCTTGTTTGTGGCTACTAAACCATATGAGGAGACAAAAATGCATGCATACTTTCCTCATGATTTTTTCATGCAAGTTATCACTACAGTTGCTGCTACAATGATCTCACATGCAATCCAGATGTGTGTATCAACAAAAATGAAGTTCAAAATTCACAGATTCAATCTTCTTAAATTACAGTAAACACTGAAAGAAAATCTGGGAGAAAAAGAACCAGGCTTTCACAGACAAGTAAGGCTGGCAAGATGGTGACACTCAGAGCAGAAAGCAAGCAAACAAATCAACTCAATACATGCAGCCTCAGAAAACAGTAAGATGCTTTTACATTTATTACACATTCTTTGGGGAATGGAATTTAGAAGTGCCAACTTCACTCCTCCAAAGATGACCATTTTTAAACGTGCTGTTGATAATACTTACGATAAAAGAAAGGGACAAACTCAACAGTGAGGGAAGCCGGTTTATACTTCTGTCTGCTCTTTTCAACTGTACTAAGGATACGTCTGAAATTACATTAGAAAAGATATGACACCTTTGTTTCTGACTTACTACTTCATGATTTCATAACAGAGAACCCTGCCAAAAAATATAAGTTTTGCCTACAAGCTTAAAAAAAAAAAAAGTATTTCACCTTAAAAAACGAATGACAGATGATAATGACTTTTCTGTTCCACTCTTAGAAATGCCTTAATAGTTTAGAACATGGTTTGGTCAAAATAAAATAAAATAAAATGAACCAAAACACCAGCAGCTACCTGGTATTTAGTCCTTCCCCATTGCAAGTAAATAATCTACTAAAGTTCTTAACCATGCAATTTGAAATGGCTCAAAACACTATTATGAGTTCATTATGGGAGATAGAGGGAACAAATCAAAGGGAAGTAATTCTGCTGATAGAGTTACAGACTTCTTCTCAAAGACAAAACATTTACACTGTGACCTTCAAAAATTTTTTTAACCAATTCAACCACATTTACCTGCCTCTTTTCCTCTGGCTTCTTTGCTATACCAGCTTAGAAAAATAGGGAAGTTTTTGAAAGAAAGCAATGGAAAAAACTTTGTGCCAGTCAGTTACAACCAAACACCTCCTGGTGCATCCACTTTTTTTTTCCTCCAACTTTTAGACTATCAGAAAATATCTTTAAGGTTTTTAAAAATATTTAAATCATATCCAGTTTCAGAAAATATAGCAGCCTCCTAAATAGAATTATACTGATTCATTAACAAATTCTGTACCTCCACTGATTGCAGATTCTCTGTTTTTGAGCATTTATGTTGTACCTATGGTGCAATGTGATGTGCTGGCATTATGAATGCTACATCTAAAAACAGCTTAGCAGTACTTTGTGAGACCATATACAATAACTGGTTCAACCTGTACTGTGTTCTAGAACAGGGGAATTACACTGCACAGAAATACTGAACGTTGTGATTCTTACACGTTCCTTAAAACTTTGTGTACAGCAAGTTAAGCTGTTATGGGAACAAGAGTTAGTACTATCAATGACAGTTCCATAAAACCTGCAATCCATGCAGTGCTGTAGTGTATTACAGGTTGCCAGCTACGAAGAAGCCCCAGCAAACAAGGTACCACCACAACAGATTTCCACTCTGTATGCATGGAGTCAGAAGAGTGACTGGATGCACAAATGCAGCACAGTTGTACAGGATGTAAGCTGTAGAATGGACTGTAAGTTTTACAAGACTAGTTATCTGCATGCACAGATCCAGTATTTGGTGCAAGTATTTGGTGCACATCAAAACAGTCCTGATGAAAGTAAAAAACTTAAAGAGCAGCTCTGAATGAGTGGCAAGGAGCAAACAGCCCTTGTACACACAGCAGAAAAACTTGTTAACTATACTGCACATTTAACATTACTGCAGTGAATTTGGGGCTAATAAGGGAGAATTGTACATGAAAAATTTCATAGGAATCTTTAAGGTCTCTGAAGAGTCAGTTATAACAAAGTGCATCATTAGCAGCCTCAAAGAGTTTGTGCCTAGAATGACAGAAATTAAGTGTGTCAAAAAGCCAGTTTCCTAGCACATACTAGTACTGACAACTCCAGTTGCACTGGGTTTCAGTGTTGAGTATCCATTTCCTGAGTTCTTTTTCCTACCAAAACTAGCATATTTCATTAACTCTTTAGAATAGAGAATCTTTGAAAAACAACTAGCATACTGTATCAAACCCACTGCCTATGACAACCAACTCTAACACCTGTAAAATGTATCGAGAGCATATCCATGTAATTACATTTTATTTTACTTTGATATCAGTAGTTTTTGTCAGCAACCTTACATATCATTTATCTACAGGTATCAAAACTCACATAGCTTGTGATCCTGCCTTGGTCCACACTTACCCTGCAATTCTCTGCCTCCAGTTGCGATATGGATCATAGAGACTTTCACAAAAAGCCAGTGCATGTCTCACAAATTCTTCTATTGGTGTCTGATCTGCCATTTCTTTCTCTTTTGTTTTGCTTTTTAACTGGGAAAAAAAAAATCCAGAAGTAACAATAGTGATCAAAAGATGCCTAGAAGTTAAAACTTCGTCTTAATCCCCCTCCATAAGCATTCCCCCACAAACACTTCATTTTGACAGGGATCACAATAAGCAAGACCTGGAGGTCCTCTACGAGGAAAAATAATAGACTAAAGATGAAAACATACCTGTTGAATGTATAACGTAGTCATGGTGATAACGTGATTAATGTATGAACACATCCCAATCTCTTCCACATTAGCCAAATTCCTATGAAAATAACAAAAAAAAAAACACAGTGTACTGAGGCTAGTTCAAACAATGTCAGTTTTAGTATTCAGTCTATAATCACAGAAAAATGTATAAGCGTTTCAGAAACACTCCCCAGAGGACTGGATGTACTCAAATGTTTATTTCTGCCACAGTAACACAGTACACAAGTTTTCTTTTAAAAGGAAGGAGAAGAAAGGCCTGAGTCACCCTGCTGTAGGTCAACTCTATCTGGAATTTGGTGTTTCAGAGATAAAATAGATTCCCAGGACACTCTAAATAGAGAGGTCAGAAATGGCATGTGATAACAGAAGCAATAACTTTAATTTCTCCCACATTACTAGAACAAGGAGACTGATACTGTCGCTGCACACATTTTCCAATACTTTAATAAATATATTACCTAGAGGCAGATATGTACTATAAATCCTCCCAATAAGAAACATCAAAAATTTTAGAACACTAAGCAAATCAACAGTAACAAAATAGCACACGCACTATTTCCCACTTTGAGGACATCACAAAGATCAGATACTAATGTGATCACATAAGGAGAACTGTTTAGCAACTGAGTAAAATAATAGCTGGTAATTCATCACACAACTATCACCATCTATTCAGCTTTATTTAATGTTCTGGAATACTTGAACGCTGCACTGCAGACTTGTACTGTTGTAAGGATAAGAAGAACAAAAGGACTCAAAAAAAAGCTTGTTAAATATTTCGCCAAAGGAGAATCCCTACCATATACTTTATTCCCTTATTCATTCAGTGCAGTTTATAATAAAAGAATGAAGAAATGAGGAGGAATAGATCCCTAAAAACAGTTTATTTACCTGCTTGGACAGTATTACAAAATTAAGAGCAAATTTCAGAGGCCAGCTGCATTAATAGAGTAAGTCAGATCCCTAAGCTACTTATGGAATTATAAGCATGTTAAGAATGTGAAACAGTTCTTCCTGTATGTTTATCATTCAAGTTCTTTAATATTCAGTGCTTTCTAGAGTGCAACTTCCCTTTAAAAGTATTTCTTATACCACATACACTATGCCTTGAATTCACATAGATATATCTTGCATAATTACAAAATTGTGTCTTTTCCATGAAAAATGGAATAGAAAGAGCAAAGATTGTATGGTTTTCTTCATTTTCCTTTACTTGGAAGACCATGAAAAGTAGCTTTTCTCTGATTCTACTGGAAAGCATCTGTTCACATTGCATAAACGATTAGAATCTAAAGTCTACATTAACGATTTGTTAAACAAAACAACAGCCTTATTGAAGTAGCAAGCAGAACAAATACCTGCAAAGGATGATAAAGAACTTCACAAGCAAAAGTGACAAAGCCTGCTGCTGCTCTTCTAATCCATCTGACATTTTCTGGACACACTGCAGCAGCTGGAGCCTCAGGACCTGAAGAATATTGTCAGGAAGCAGTGATATTCCTGGAGGGATGTCATCCACCCTAAAGAGAAAGACCACAGACACACAGCTCATAATCATGCAAATGACACATTATCATCTATTTTTAGTGTGCTTCGGTAGTGTTGCAATATACATGCTTAAAAAAGGTTACAGAAATGCAGCAACTAATTTCTCACAAGCACTTCCTAGTGAACTACAAGGAAATGCTTGCTGGCAATAAGCCAGCATGAGCTTTCTTTTCCCCAACAGCAATAAAGAACTAAAAAAAAGCACCAGGAATACATTAACCAGATTCCTAAATACTCTTCCATTGAGATTACCTGCTTGAATTGCCATAGAGAAATGGCATGATTTTCAGTAGTAATCAGGTGGCCTGGGAAACTCCTATGAGGATTGACACAGCAGAACGAAACGTGAAACTAAACACAAGGGAATGTTTTCAACTTTCCACTGAAGATTAAAATAAATGAGATGCCAATAACTAAGTAGACATTGAAGTCCAGTTGGCAGTAATCCACAGCAAACTTCACGCCTTTCTTACACGAACTACTCAAGCTAGCAGAAAATAAGATCAAATACCAAAAGCAACCAGCTCATAGAGCTTAAAGACTTGAAAACCAGGGTCTGAACGTACAGAAGGGGGAGCTCCCAGCAGCTCATTTGACTCCTGGCATACACATTCTGCATGAATGGCCGGCCCAACCCTAATGGTTTCTGTGTGTTGTTAACCCACTACATGATTGGTTTTATCCACCTAGTATCTCACTGTTTTTAGGAGAGGAAAAAAAAGACTTGGGTTGGCATTAAATGCAACAACTCTACCAAGCCTAGATAGGGCCCTGAAGAATATTAGGCACTCCTGCATATTATTTTTGTTAAAATTAGGCATTTGTAGAAATACATCCGTGAAAACCAAATGAAGAAAAAAGTCACAAGAGCACAAGGGATTTGGAAAACCTTGACAGAGATTTCATAGAACCTAGGTTCATATAAAGAGACATTAACCAGAAAACTGAGAGCACCTGCTTTCATCCAACACAGCTGTCAAGAAGGCAACATTCATTTCTAAGCAGCTTCATCCCCAAGATTCCAGTGGATTCAAACCCTCTGGGACTACAAGTGTTGTTCACAATCTGTGAACTCACCATCTCTGTATTAAGAACATAATTTTTGCTAGCTGAGGTTGTATATCAGAAGTAACTTGCCCAAACTGGCCAACAAGTCTCTTTTTCTGTAAGATCATGAAACGCTTTGTAAGAAAGCAAACAGCCTTCCCCCTCCATGCCTCACGTACCAAAGAGTGTTCTACATGTCTGTGCTATATACAACTTAAATGCTTTGTGCAAGAAAAACAGAAGAAATGCTCATCTTCTGGTATTACTCAAACCAAGCATACTACAGAGATTAAATAACTGAACTTCTTCCCACACCACAGCAAATTGCTACTGTATCACTACAAATTTTGAGAAGCTTAATATGTAGATGTGTAATGCTGTTTTTTCTTAATGAGACTGGTTGCATAAACTTACTACTCAAAAAGGAAAAAAAAAAAATCTCAAGTCACAACTGACACTCTTGTTTGCTTGCTGCAACCATACATCAAAAAATGAGATATGTTCACACTTTAGAATCACTGAATCCTTAAGAGTTGTAAGTCATCTCTGAAGGCCATCTACTCCAACTGCCCAACAGTGAACAGGGACACCACAGTTACATCAGGTTACCCAGGGCCTGATCCAGCTTTGCCTTGCAAGTCTCCAGCAAGGGGGCATGAAGAACAACCTGGCTGATGGGCAAGAAGTTTCAGTGCCTCACCACAGTCACTGTGAAAGATTTTTTCCTTTCATCTAACTTAAGTCTACCTTCTTTGAGCTTGAAACCATTTCTCCTTGTTCTATCACCACAAAGCCTGCTAAGGAGTCTGTCCCCTTCTTTCCTGTAGGTTGTTCTTTTGGATTCTTTAATTTCTAATATCCTTGCATTACATTAACATGGCTATGCAGCAACAGAAATCATTAACCCAGGTGGTTGAAAGGAACTTGAGTTAGTCTTCACATTGTACTCATTCAATTACAGCTCAGATCAGCAGTACTCTCCCCGCTCCTCCACTAAAGCTGTAAGCAAGCACTTTGGAACAAAAGCTGGTGAAAACCAGGCTTCAATTTTCAGCAACCAGTTTCCAGTAACTGTAATCTGCTTTATTCTGGTGATCTCCGCATCCTTTTCTGGGGGTTTAGAGTCCATACACTAACACAGTGTGGCATGTGCAGTACTTGACATACGTTTCCTTTAAGCTTCTCTGCTTAACAGCATACAAACCAAAACCAGAAAATAAATCACAACAGCGCAGATAATATTGCTGCTTCTGAAAGTATTAAGTCAAAGAACAATTTCTTCCATTAGTGATGGGGAAAAAAAGAAAGCCTCCTATGAGCTGGTAAATGTGTAAATACTGCTGAGAGGATTGGGGGTTACTTTTTATTTATTCTAGGTAAAGAATGGACACACATTAGACTTTTGTGCTCACAGCTGTCAGCATAGTTATTTTTTGTGCAGTATCTTCACTTTCTTACAAAAAAAAAAATCACTGTAATGACCATTAATGAACCATTGCACTTAAATATACAGAAAAAATACATACAGAAGATACACAAAAATGTAAGTAAAATTAAATGTTTATATGCTTATAAACTCTATTTATTACAAAACCCAAATCATTTCACTGGATACACTCATTGCTTCAAGTTTAGAAACTGCCAAGTTCTGTACTACGTAGAAAGTTTTCTATTTCCAAAACATATTTCAGGACATGTTGTATTTTAATTCAATGAAGAAACACTTATCAATTACATCAGCAAGTGACACTGCCACTTAAGAGTCTTTCTTTCAGAAAAAAAAGGCTAATAGTTTCAACTACATTTCTGAAGTATTGTTTTCTTATATGTTAAAAAAGTGTCATGTTTTACATTGACATAACTCCAGAGCTGTCTTCCAAAAGGTTAACTTTGCCCAGCAATCTGAACGAGCTTCTTTATTCTTATACAGTTCATCATTTCCTGGCACTTGCTGTTCAGTACATAAGGCCTTTCTAGCACTTAGCTGTCAAGCACTCCAACATTCACATAAGGGAAAAGCAGGCTCACATTAGTCCCCATTCTAGCAATTATGGATGTTCTTAACTACTGTGCACTTGACAGAGAGAGAAAGCAATAAAAAAGTACACAATCCCTTCTATGATTTCCGCACTACCTCTGTTCACAAAGGAGAGCAACTTGAGATCATTGGCACAGATGTCAATGGGCAAACTTGATTTCTTCCTAGATGTCTGAGTCCAAGGGGTCCCTTTGGCCTCAAGAGAAGAGACACTGGGAAACAGGTGGCTCCACTCTGACCTATATATTCCTCTTTTGCAGGCTCAATAATATCAGCTCCATAGTGTTAATGCTTGCAATTGAAATGGAGAAATACCAGAAGGATGCCACTTCTGACATGCCCGATTATCTCTCAAATGCCAACAAGGGCAGAAAATGTTTCTATGTTATTTTGATGTATTTTCTCTACATCTGTTACACAAATGAGTCTAAATCTGTGCAGGCCTACTCTTCCAGACCAGTCACTAATCCTGTCATTAACCTCACAAAAACACTGGATTTTTATGCTCACAAACCCATTATTTAATGCAATGAAGATGCTACCATTGTTCAGCACAGCTAAGCTCCATGTTTGTGCTTAATCTTTTACTATGTTGCTGTAAAAACAGAAACAACAACAACAAAAACTCATGAGCACATAAAACAAGAAAAAACAAGGGGTAACAAACTTTTTCACTGTTTTTGCTTTCCTGAACTGTGCACTGTAGGATGCATTTTGATATCTCACTACAAAGCAAACATCTTCTGAAAGAAGAATTAACTGGCAGACTTTTGTAGATTTTTGACATTGGTAATTGCACTGTAAACTTTGAATTAGCATAATGGCTAAGAAGAATATCTTAATACAAGTAGATGAGATGCCCTGTTTTCATCCACTGAGATCCAGTTGCAGCATTCTTTGTTTCCTTGTAACAGTGGAGGCTATCACTTACGCTTCAAACAGGATCTGATCCAAAGCCCAGTAGAGAATTTCCATTGATTTCAACAGGGCTTGGACAGAAGCATTATGCACAGAGCCATTCTTTCTGGTAGTGGTAGCAGCTATAACTCTGAAACTGGTTCTTGTGACTTCTGAATTCTGTAACACTTGTTTTTTTCTTAAAACCCTTAAATCATACAAGGATGTATTAAAAAAAAGAAAAGATACAGAGCTAAGTTTCTATTCCTCATTTGAAAAGTTAGCCTTAGTGCACAGAAATTTCAACAGATTTTAAATGCAAAATACAGTAATGTGAAATTAGACTTTAATACCCATCTCATGATTATATTTCCATATTTGCAGTCAGCAACGAGTCATTAATACTTCTGTCCCTGAACTTCGAGGTTTATCATTTGTGTGTTTTAATTAAAACCCTTCTAGCTAAAGCATCTAAAACTTAGATCATTTTATCTCTTTTTCCTCTTATAGCAGTCCACAATAACATTACAAAACTTTACCTAGATCTTACCTCTGTTCAGTCACTACTGCTACAGAAACCAAGCACTGACACTAATATTATTTCACCTGCAACATTTAATGAATATTTATTCCAAAAACTTACAAGAAATGATTATACTTCTACGAGGAAAAACAAGTGAATATTGATTTAATCACTGATATAACACAAATACTGGTATTTGTTTCATAAGTAAGTTTCATCATTCCCAACCCATTTTGACCTTCAGAAGAACAGGAGTGCCACTCAATAAAAAAAACTTTCTTTTGTGTAAAAGCAGTATTGGTATTGAAAGAAACTGGGCTCTCATCCAGGTCTGGTTCAGATATCAAAGGTGAACAGGTCTGTAATTCTACATACCTAGTTGGCAGCTTCTCAAAGTCCACATCCAAAAACTGTTCATAGCTAGAAACAAAACTATCCAACCAAAGCTTCAGGTAATCTGGATCTTTCTGGAAAAAAAAAAAAAAAAAAAACAAAAGAGAAAGGAGAAGGGTAAGAGAACATTAATAAATACAGTGTCTGAGGTCATTAATCAGCAAGTCTGGAGCAGTAACTTGAACAGAAAGCTCTTTCCTTAACACATTTCAGCTGGGAGAAAGGAATGAATAGACTAATTTTTAGAACAGATTTCACAAAGCTCTATTCTTTGAGCTTCTCAGACATATTGTGCTATGTGATAATCTTGCTCTGCATATCTATTCATTAGTTGGGTGTTTCCATTTACTGGTATCAATGCCAATTGAAGTGTTTTAGCCTACAAACATCCCCTCCCACACCAGTTCCAATAACCGTTATTTATCTCAAGTACATAACTTTACAAAATCACTAGCATATTTTTTTATCGATAGCATGGAATTTGATACATATAATTCCTCATGGCCTTATACAGTTACTAAGCACAGGGATCCCCTTCTCATATTAGACCATTTTCCCTGCTCCCAAGACCCCTTCAACTCAAGCAAGTATCAGAAAAACAGAATTCACTATCATTATTATATCTAAACCGCATTCAGATACAGTGACAACACATATAAAGCTGATGCATCTCTTCCATCTGATTATTTGCTTTTATTATCTTCATTATATTTTCTCACTCTTTTTCTCTGGATTTTTTCCTCCTTTTTCTTCTTTTCATTCCTAATGTCCTCCTTTTTCATAATCTTCCTTCTCCCCGTTCCTGTTTCTATTTCCCTTTCACAATTTTTCCTTAAGTCATCCTCCCCTTTCTTTTTCTCTTCAACATTTCCCAAGAAAGGACATTGTGGTCTACAAGCCTGAAGCAAACCTATCCTCATGTTTACTATGCACAGAACTACTTATCTTAGATGTACACCTATTAACAGCAATCAAGATGAAATTGCAACATACAGAATTAAGAAAGCTGTTCAGATAAAGAATAATTTCAAGGTTTCTAAACTATTGGCTTAAGCTACAAAGGTCAACAGATCATCTCAAGTAGGTGGGTACAGAATACACATTTATCAGTTTCAGAGATCAAACACGTTGAAAAAAAAATCAAACCAGAAGACGGGCAAGAACTACTGCTCACTAATATCCAAACTGAACGGGGCTGGAAGTAACAGTATATGCTGTCCTCAGACATCTTTGGCTTTGCCTTAGGAATCACTTATATTCCTACTGTTCAGTGTGCTGAACAGTACTATGGCTTTTTAAAAATATTCATGTATTTATAGCTGTAACTTCCCTGTAATTCACACAGGTTATTTTAGCCACATGCTTGCTGTTTCACAGGCTTGTAAGGACAATTTAAAATAAGATGCTATTTTGGCAACTACAACATAGCTAAGGCTAGAGAGGACAAGGCAATAGCATCTATGGCAGAGTAACAAACAAACTTGGTCATAATCATATACATGCACTTTGCTTAGTTAACAGCCATGATAATACCCATGCATGAGGGAAAAAAAGGATCTATTTGACGTTTTTCCTGTTGAAGGAACTGCTTTGATATTCTTGGCATGAGCAAGTTCTCCTTGAAATAGAACATGAATCATTAAAAGGATTCAATTAGTATTCCAAAACTAAAATAGTGTTGACACAGCTGAGACTCATCTCTAGCTGTTGATAGTAAACTGTTGTAAGAAACTCAGTGGTAAACTGTTGTAAGAAACTCAGTGGTATTTGATCAAGAAAAACTAAGGAAGCTGACTGAGAATTGCTTTAGAAAGTATTCTGGACGAAAGAAAAGAGAAGAAAATATTAAATGTCTGCTTGCTCCTTTTCAATAATAGCTGGAGCCTAAATCTACTTCAAGCTTAAGGTTTAAATTAATCTCCTTATCTTTAAACAATAATGCCTTTGCAGAGCTATCAATGAAGACGTGCGGCAGAAGAAAAACTGGCAAGGAAAATACAAAAGAAAGTAAATACATAGATGGCAAAAACAGGACACAGATGTTAATAAGAGTGAAAAGTTACTACTGAGCTGCAGTGCACACACAGCTCCATTTGCATTACCACTGTAACTCCTCCATATGAGGTAAACATTGCCGTTAGCTCTTGCTTTCTAAACATACAGTCAACTGACAAAAAGCAAGAGCTGCAATACCGTTTGACCACTACCTGCAGCAGCCTTTAATTCTGCTCCCTTCCACCTCAAACCCCAGCCAGCCAATTGGTTATACATTATTGAGTTATTAAAAGAATCGGCTTTGATAACAAAATGAGATAACTACTGGTATGTAGTAGTAGAAAACAGTTTACACGATAATAGACTCACTTGAGTTCAAAATCTAGAAATTTCTTAGGCAATAGCATGAACTCAACATTGCTTGGAGGAAAAAGAGAGCAAACAAGGTCATTTAGCAACTGAAGAAGCATTAAGAAATACATCTCTATTATAAACCATATAAGCATACTACCATTTCAGAAATGAACACAAATACAGACATAAGAGCTAGGAGTAAGTAATCATCCCAAGAAAAAGGTGACCACACTTAATTGTCTTGCTCCAAGTGAAGATACATAAGCTTTCACAGATACATTAGAAACCAAAGTTAAAAACAGCTTTCGAACTTTGAATCTGGCCCAGGTTTCTGTTTTCCTACGTTAGCAGTGACCAGTGGCCATTGCATGCAGCATGAGGCTGAAAGCCACCAGAAATCTCAGCTTTACTGAAGCACTTTTAAGAAAGCAAACTTATAGCGTAAGTAAATGTTACCTGTGACAAAACAGATAAAAGCATGCCTCTCTCTTACACGGCTAAATAAATACATTTCTGAAGAGCAGCCTGCTTGATTCAAAGCCATCTTATATTTTCCCACACTGAAGCATGATGGATTACAAAACAAAAAAATTTTTTACATTGCTTTGGTATTTTAATTTTATAAGAAAAACAGATATTATGGGCACCAGCTACTTCCTGTGCACGATGTAAACCAGCATCTGCACTTGAACACTGTTTCAAGGTCAGCTGCTACCCTTTATTCTGACATTTGATTTTGGTGGGTTTCTTCCCATTTCCCTTTTCAACTATTCTCTTTTCTCATGATAGATGTGGTAAACTTAATTAACAGCAGAATACAAACTGACCTAATTGTTTAATGCCAGACCAACCTTGAGACAGTACATACTACAGCCTCAAAAATGTGCATTACCACACAGCACAGGCTGGAAATAGGCTGGAGAGCAACCAATCACTGAACAGCAACATCAATTCTCTACAAATTGTTGGCCATTTCATTTTCTCCACAGAAGAAAGAAGTGGAATTTTGTCAGGCCACAAAGCATCTTTAATACTCAAAAGCCTTATTATCAGCAAAAGCAGCGGAGCCCGTGCAATACATTCTCTTCATCACTGTTTCCAGATTACCAGTAGCTGTAGGCTGTATATCAGACAGCAGCTCCAAATTATTTTTAGTGGTGCTGTTGAAGATGTCCCACACTTTTAAGACACAGCTTACAAACAACATCCTGACAATACATCACAAGGACACTGTGATCAACAATGAGTTTGATATCTCTTCCCAACCTCCTCTCTCCACACACACCTGCAGACATGTCCTGGGAGATCAGCAAGGAAGACAGAGGGAAGCTTTTCATTTGTACAACAGCAGTGAATGTAGAAGAAAAGACACAGGTGGTAATAAAACACCTTCCAGAACTCCAGAGTCATTATAAAGAAAAGAAAATGTTGGTTCTGGAAGTTGTACAGCTTATTAAGTCATAATCCTAAGCACTCCTTTTATTTCCAGAAGCTTGTGTAACTTCTGTGCAAGACAGATTTGTGCATCTTATTTGAATAACAATTCATATATAGAAACTACATGTTTGAAAATTTTGAAAGATGTTTCATCAAGGTTCAAAATTCCCAGAAGCAAAACCCCAACTTAAATTAACCATCTGCCCTCAGGGCAATAAGCTGACACAACCCAAGCTTTAACAGGCAGTCTAATGATGTGGCATTGTGAGGATATATGCAAACCTGCAAGGAAAAGCAAATTTCAAAGCCCTTTATCTGAAAATTGTGAAGCAAGTCACAGATACATAGGGCCTGAGCTTAAGCTTCTAAACTCAATGTATTGCAATGAAAACCCGTAAAACTTCAAGGAACAATCATTCATCTGCACTAATGAAAAAAATTGCTTTAAGCCTATTAAATAAGCTGCAGCTCAGAGCACCACAAAGTGAAAACATTTTCTAGTTCCTTCCTTACTTTTTTTTTTTTTTTAAACAACCTTTAGGCTTCCATTTGTACACAATTCTCAGAGCACAGTAATAGTCATCAGAGCTCTTTAAAATGAAACACTGCCAGGTACAAGATCTACTACAATGTGTGCCAACAGGTACAGCAATAAAAGCACACCCAGAAGTGTCAGTTGTGGTTTTTCCATTTGACCAGCACAGCTAGCACTATGCTTGAATGAAGAAGGTTGCTAAATAACATCAGTTGATCTTTTACACAGTGTAATCCAGTGTAGAACCAGTGTAGAACACTGCAGCTAAGCAGTGCCAATCAGCAAGTTTCTTATACGGTTCAACATTTCAATGCACTAGAACTCCAGCAAGCCATCCTTTACCTTGGTATAACTGGGAAATAAGCTTCTAATGCTAATGCCAACTTCTGTGCTCACCAACTGCACCACTTAATGTAGAGAAGGATTTTTCCAACAGCAGATGCAACACTGAGGCAATAAAAATAAATGAAGCTAAGTACAATCAACACTAACGTGGGACAGGCTCTTTTCTTCGATACATTAAGTTGCCTACAAATGGCAACAGCACTGCCTGCTCTTTATGAAGACTGATTAAATGAACAACAAAAAAGAAAGCTTCTAATTCAGTCATTTCCCCAGTAAATAGTTTGTCTGGGCAAAAAGGTCAACAGGAAACGGAATTTTTTACATGAGTGAAAACATTTTTTTAAACTCATAATACTCCCTGTAACTCTTATAGCTGACTCTAAGTTAAATGAATGCATTTTATGCAGA